CCTTCTTTAATTAATTGAACTGCTAACACTATAGCCATCAGCTCCCCAGTATATACTGATAATTGATCACTAATTCTAGCTTTCCTCCTCACTTGTAATTTTGGTGCATAGACTGCTACTCCTATTCTCTCTCCTCTTTTGGAAGCATCCGTGTATATCCGTATATGATCTCCATACCTACTTCTTAAATACTCATTTGTTTTTACTGCTTCCATCTCATTACTTCCTTCTCTCTGTCTTATCTTCAACAAGGTTAAATCTATTTCTGGTTGAGAACAAATCCATATAGGATAATTCGGATGTATTACTCTTGGCACACATCTATTCTCTATCCCCATCTCTTTGATATCATCTTCTACCACGCCTCCAAAACTCTTGTATTTCTTCCTCCCTTGTTCCCAACATACTCCTAATATTTTCCTTGTTGGATGCATCTCATCCTGACTAATTAGATTTGCCCAATAGACAGCCATTAACTGTTGTCTTCTGATATTAAGCAGCATTTCATTTATCTCCACTTGCATTGCTGCTATAGGTGTAGTTGGATATGCTCCACAGCAAATTCTCAATGACTGTGCTTGAATTCTGTCTAGTTTCGCCAACTGTGATTTTGCAGCCAACATATGCCATGCTTCCATAATCTAGCACAGATCGTATCATTGCTACATATACTGTTTGAAGCGCCCCTCTATCTGCTCCCCACTCTTGTCCTGCCATACATTTCATTACATTTAGAACTCTTTTACACTTATTCACGATCTTATCAATATGCTCTTTCCATGTAAGTCTAGTATCCAGCCATACCCCCAAGAATCGAACTGATGCCACTCGTGCCACTTCATTGTTATATATCTTTATCTTACAATCATTATCTACTTTCTTGTTGGTAAATATAATACTTTGTGACTTCTCCACAGATAGTTTAAATCCCCACTTATACGACCATTTTACTATACCTCATCCACCGCCTTCTGCATTTTCTCCATAATAAACTGTTTATTTCTTCCTCTGAACCACAAAGCCCCATCATCTGCAAACAATGACCTAACAACACTCCTATCCACCTTACTAAATATATCATCTATCATTATTATAAAAAGAACTGGACTTATTACACTTCCCTGTGGAGTGCCATTTTCTACTATTCCTTGAGATGATATAGATTCCCCTACCCTCACTCTTAGTACTCTTTCCTTAAGGAAGTCATTAATCCAATTGAACATTCTTCCCCCTATCCCCATTTCCTCCAACTTAATCATAAGACCCTCCCTCCACAACATATCATAGGGTTTTTCAATGTCGAGAAACACAGCAATTACTGATTCTTTGTTTGACAGAGCTTTCTTTATTTCTGCCTCTAAACACATTACCGGATCCATAGTTCCTCTTCCTACCCTAAACCCACTTTGATAAGTAGTTAATTTTCCTTCTTTTTCCAAAAAATATACTAATCTATCTGTAATCATTCTCTCCATCACTTTCCCTACATGAGAAGTAAGAGCTATTGGTCTATAGTTAGTTGGCATATTGCTTCCTTATTGGCAGTATCAATGCTTTTTTCCAACTTTTTGGTAACACCCCCCTTTCCCACACTTTATTATAGAACTCTAACAAAACTCTCAACGACTCCTCACTTAACTGTTTGATCATATGATAACTGATAGCATCTTGACCTGGAGTAGTTTCTCTCATTCTCCTCAGTGCTCGTTTTAGTTCTGTTAATCCAAACGGGACATCCATTACTCTATCTCTTTCCTCTTTCATGTCCAACACATGAGGATGTTCTTTTAATATTTCCTCCCTTTCCCTCTTAGATTCTTCAGTCAGATTTTCTGTACTATTTATTTGTATAAATGTCTTACAAAACATTTCTGCTTTATCACAATTTTCTACTGCTATTTCTTCCCCTTCATTTAAAACAGGATATTCCATCTCCTTCCTTATACCATTCATCCTTCTGTAATCATATTCCATACTTCTCCTATTAGTGTACTTCTCCCTATTTTATCACAAAACTCTTTCCAATATTGCCTTTTTGCCCTTCTTACCACCTTTTTTACTTGTGCTTGTTCTCTCTTATATTCCATTAAATCTGGATAACTATGCATTCTTCTTACTTTCTTATATGCTCTCCTTTTCCTTCTAATAGCATCATCATACTCCTTATTCCACCATGGTACCATTTTAACCTTTCTTTTTCCTTTACTCTTGGGAATACTACTTACTGCCGCCCTTTTAATGACTCCTATAATTTTCTCACTTATAGCGTCTATGTCATCTGCGTTTCTTACTTCATTTATATCCAAACCCTCCACTACAATTTTCTCATACTCAGTCCAGTTAGCCTTCTCATAATTCCACCTCCCTTCTCTTCTCTCACTTCTTTCTACACAATTATTCATATACATTTCAATCAAAATAGGAAAGTGGTCACTACCTATACTACATTTCCTTAAAACCTTCCAGCTAATTATGCCCCCTAACCTAATTTTAGCAAGAGTTAAATCCAACACTGCTTCTTTACCTGTTCTCATGTCTATACGTGTACCTCCTCTGTCATTTAGACATATCAAGTCAAGTTCATCTCCTCCATTAATTCTTCAATTACCTGCCCATTCCTGTCAGTTACACTTCCTCCCCACAAACTACTATGAGCATTAAAATCCCCACACCAATTCACCCTCTCTCTGTTTTGCCCCTCTATTTCCACCATTTCTTCAAATATCATTTGTCTACATGGATTATAAAAATTAATTACTACTACACTCTTCTCATCCTTCCATACCTCTACCACCACATATTCCATGTCTCTTCCTTTCCCCACCATTCTATACTAAATATCAGACTTAAAGGGTTAGTTCACCCAAAAATGAAAATTCTGTCAGTATTTACTCACCCTCATGTTGTTCCAACCCCGTAAGACCTTCGTTCATCTTCGGAACACAAATTAAGATATTTAAGATATTAAGATCGCTCCTGCATACAGTCCATAGGCTTCTTGAGGGACTGGCTCTTGCTGTCCTCGAAAAGTCATTAAAGACATCGTTAAAATAGTCCAAGTGACTACAGGGGCTCAATCTTAAGTTTATCAAACGACGAGAACACTTTTGTGCGCACAAAACAACAAAAATAACGACTTTATTTCAACTATTCGTTTATTTCTCCCTTTGCGCGAGTCAGGTTACTAGTTTAATAGCATAAGCTTCTGTTATTGTACGTCACACGCATCACACACACATGACCAGCGTCGGCCAATAGTGAGCCTACGTGTGACGTAGCTTTACGCAATCACACTACGTTAACTGACTTACAGGCTCATGGAGAAGGAAGTGAATAGTTGAAATAAAGTTGTTATTTTTGTTGTTTTTTTGCGCACAAAAGTGTTCTCGTCGTTTGATAAACTTAAGATTGAGCCACTGTAGTCACTTGGACTATTTTAACGATGTCTTTAATGACTTTTCGGGGACAGCAAGAGCCAGTCCCTCAAGAACGATGCTTTCGGGAAACGCACCCCTGAATGAGACCCTGCGTGCGGGAGTTTTACGCAGCTGTCCAGACAACCAAGGCTGAACGTTACAGCGTTTCAAGCCTAGGGAGCCTGAGGCAAATGACCCTCTCTTTGATCTGATTAATTTATTGCCCTCTATAACGTTAAGCGCAAATCGCTGGAGCTCAGAGCTAATTGTTTTTTTATTGTTGTTTGATTATTTGTTTTTATGTGTAATAAAAAAAAAAAAAACTATGCCTACCTTTGTGTTTCATGAAAAAAAAATGCATTTGTGAACCTGAAGGGATACGAGCTAAGCGGACTATAAATATCTCTGGTTGCTAAATAAACAGTCAGGCAAGGCAAGTTATTATTTGTAAAAACTAGATTTAGCCTAATTAAAATATAAACTAATGTTTTAAAAATGTTTTATTTGGCAAGTGACCATGGTATGCGGGTTAATGCCCTCCGAGGTGTCCATTGTCAGGTTTTAATGGACTTCGGCGGAGCACAGGTGTGTTGTGGAAATGATGAAGATGTTTTTCTTAATTTGCGGATGTATTTTTGTATTTGAATGCGTTTTTATAGTTGCACACGGTTTTTTTTTTTTGAATTTGCATTCGTCTTCATCAGGTTGCAGCGCGGTGAGCTCTCTCGGCCACCGTAGGGTTATATGTGATTAGCAGTTTAATTTAACTCGGGTAAATATTAGCCATGCGTTTAAAAACAAACCTAACGTTACCTTGCAAATCAGCGCCGACTGTAGAATACACCAAACTCGAAAACACCGCTAAAAACAACATTTTCTGTTGTCTATCGTACAAGACAGTACGGTTTATAAATATATAACATCAGCCATATATCTAACTTTAGTTGTCGTATGTAAATATCTGGCTCACTTTACGGCTGCACGTCGAAGGACGCCGCCATATTGTTATGACAAGAATGCTGGGAAATTGAGTTCATCTCAGGAGTAGTTCACCTTTTAAAAAACTTTTGCGGATAATTTAACCCCAGCATTTAAATTAAAATAATTTAAATGCTGGAATGTTTTCATCAAAAACCTTAATTTCTTTTCGACTGAAGAAAGAAAGACATGGATATCTTGGATGAGGGTGAGTAAATTATCAGCAAAAGTTTTATAAAAAGTGAACTAGCCTACTCCTTTAACTCCGCAAAGTGAGGATTCACTGTTTGATTTTTTTTAATCATAATAATATGTAGCCTATATAATTCATTTGAATCATGTAATAAAAAGTTAATAATTATTATCATTATTACTACTCCTACAACAATAGTTGTTTGTTGTTGTTGCTGAATCATTCACAAGAGTCTTCAATGGTTGAATCAATTATAATAATATGCATTTAATTTGTTTCATATAAATAAATAAAGCACTATTGTTACTGTGTTGTTGTAATTAATATTATTATTATTGAAATAAGTTAATATGTTGGTCTTAATTAATTAAATACAGTTTTACATAAAACAAATAACACTCTTCATTCTTACAGTTTATTCAAGTCTGGTAATTTCAGACAAACAACTTTATTATAGATTGTATAACATCCAACATCCATTCAAAACAAAATGCAGTTTGCACGTTCTCTGGAAGATAATAAAAAAAAATTAAGACATTTTTGATTCACTTACAGGGGTGTCAAACCCAGTTCCTGGAGGGCCACAGCCCCTACAGAGTTTAGCTCCAACCCTGCTTCAACAGACACACACTTGGCAGTTTTCAAATGAGACTCAAGGACTTGAATAGCTAATCAGGTGTGTTTAATTAGGGTTGAAACTAACTCTGCATGGGTTGTGGCCCTCCAGGAACTGAGTTTGACGCAAAGATTTTTGTGTAAGGTCCATTATTGACTTAAATTACGTCTTATTTTTCAGCTTATTTTGCAAAAAAAAAAATTTACACGAAAGCTTTTAAAAATCACAGCCTCTTGGTATTTTGCTGGGTTTGATGTTTGTGACGAACAACTGCAAGTGTTGTGAAAAAATTTCCCGCAAACAGAACCAGAAAGCAGAAGCCACACATGGAAACCTACAGTGAAAAGAGATGAACATATGAATGAAACATAAGATTATTGCAACTTCAAAATCACACTTTTAACAGATTTATTCATAGGCTATACTGAATGTGACATATTCTTTCACTTCAGTGTCGTGATGTTGTGGAAAGATCTATAGAAATTACACTGACCTGCCATTCTTTACATTCAGGGAGCAGAACCATTCTGAACAGGGAAATACTGTTCCAAAGCTGCCAGAACTGCGTGACACATAGACATAGACACAACATTCAGTGTTCAACAAGATATACACCAAAAATGATTACTGTTCATAATGGCATTTCATTTGCGGTTCCATTTTCAAAGATTTATTATTTAAAATCTGACTATTATGCTTTTTGCTTTGAATATATTTATATCCTGAAATATTAAAAACAAATACTTACTTGACCCAGGAAGAGAAAGGGAAGAAGAAATGTCAGTCCCCGCCACATCCACGACTGAAATCCCTCTGTTTAAACAAAAATGATGTTTATAGCTTTAAAGTGACATAAAGCGCTTCACTTTCTTCAAGTCAGAAATCCTTACCAACAGTCAAATCCAAGTTGTGTCGTTCCCCTAGTGCTTTTAGCCTGTAGAGACACCCACTTTGATAGTAGTACTGAAGACACTGCACAAAGCCTAAAAGAGAAAGTGATACGTTTGCCTTCAAGATCTCTCAATATTACAGTGTTAGTATTTTTCATGCAGCAGATGTTTTACAGGGTGGTGTTAGCATGTAGGGCTTGTAACTTACTTTGATACAAACAATAGATCAGAAATTGGTTCCTGAAAGACTGGTATGTTTCACCATCTGGCCTACATATACAACAGAATCATTGTTTGAGGAAAAATACCAGCAATTTACTGATTCATAAATCATCATTCATTGGTGCTGATGCATTTAATATCAACATTGTAAGATTGTGCCTATTCCTGAATTCCTTGTGAAAGATAGTAGTGACATTTAAAATGAGCTTTTCAGTTTTTATTTTATTTTCAGTTTGTGGTTCAGTAATTTTGTGCTTTTATCATTTTTTTTAAACAACCAGATTTTTATTTACCATTTCAACTTAATATTATTATTATTTTCAGTTAGTTGCTATAAGGCAACATTCTTAAATTATAATGTTGTTCGAAGACTCGAAAAAAATGAACTAATCATTCCTCTCATCAGAGAGAGAGAGAGAGAGAGAGAGAGAGAGAGAGAGAGAGAGAGAGAGAGAGAGAGAGAGAGAGAGAGAGACAGAGAGAGAGACAGAGATGAACTAATCATTTCTGTTTCCAGGACAGATTCAGAACCCATTGCGCAATGCGCATGCGCGGTCAACACAAAATCACTCGAATCACAAATGAATCACTCTCTGAGACAACTCGGTAGTCGCGAGTCATATTAAAGATTCATTCAAAACACTCACTACTTCTGGAGGTGCAGCAAAGGACACGAATAGTTGGTAGCGATTCTTTTTTTCAGGAGCAACTTCTTAGTAAAACCAGCTTTATACTGAGTCTGACCCTCGTTTATAAAGCAGTCTGGTGCTGAGAAAAGATTCGCGAATTGCGCAAAAATGAAAGCAGTGACGTTACTGGTGGGGTTTATTCCCATCGAAAACAAAACTCAGCCACTGTGTCTTCAGCGGTTCGGATTTAGGAACATCAAAATGACTGTGTTCGTTCTGTGTTGAAACGCTGCTGTCAATCAACAATCGTGGGAGGGGCGTCCGTTTTATTGATGTCGCAAAAACTAACGGCTCAATTTGAGTCAGGGGAAAACACATAAGAAGATTAAAACAAAAACACTGGATAGATTTTTATCATATGATGGTTGTGCACAGGCACTGCCAAGACATTTCAGTACAATCAACTTGAAAAAAGTGCATGTGCCATTATATGACCCATTTAAAATGCATTATGCATTAAAACATGAAAAAACAACCAATTGCAGATGTAACAAGGAAACTTTGGTCAGAATTATTTATGAAAATATATCATTTGTGCTGGAAAATCGAATAATCATGATGAATTGCATCGAACATAAAAGTGTGTGTGTTTGTGTGTGTGTGTGTGTGTGTGTGTACACACATACAGTATAAATTTCCAAACTTTTGTTAAAGCGATTAATTACGGTTAATCGATTTGACGGCACTAGATATAATTCATTATAACTTACATTATGAATAAATTATAATGCATAAAGGCTTCGGTCAGACATTAATAGTCGGAAATGACTCACCAGGTTAGCATGACCCCAGACAGAAAGGTGGAAATGTAGTGGTGGAAAACCCACCAGCCTTTAATCCTATATAAATCAAAGCATATACAAGGTTTTAGAGATGGCACAAGCCAGAGTAGGTCCTTGAGAGAGCTTATTAAATCCACCATTGATCAAACGTTGTGAATGCAGCAATGTCACATCTTTAAACCTGAAAAGACTCTTAAAGTTTCATCTGACAGTTTCTGACCTGGATCCATTGCTGATGAGGATACTTTCACGGATTGTCAGGGTGCAATAGTACCAAACCAACAGGAAGTTAAGAAGGGCATCGAAAACTCTACAGACACACACCAAAAGCAAGCATGAAATGTGAAGTGAGGGAAGGCTTGTCAGACAAACCCGTGTGAACTCAGTCTTACCTGTAGCTGATGAAGAAGCGACATATGAAGGTCATCAGGAACAGAATCACGGTCACATACAGCTTGAACCTTTCATACTCATCTTTGTATTCAGCTCTGCATTACAAAGTGCACAGGCATATGATAAAATAAGTATAAAATATAAGCTGAAAGTCGATAAACTGAGAAGCGAAATTGTGTACATTTTTGTATATATATTGATATCATATATATATATATATATATTGAGTTTCTGTTGATTAAACCAATCTCCTTAATTGCATTCACTATAAGGCAATAAGTAAGTTAACAGTGCATCAAGTACTTGTATTCAAATTGAAATAAATATAAATGTATTGTATATTAATTATTCAAATAACTATAAATAAGTTTTAACATGTAGGCCTATACATTTATTTTTTAAAATTGGGTAACACAAACATTATTTGGCAATGGTACAAACTTAATTGCAGATATATTCTCAAAACAAGCCTCATATTATTATGGAAAATAAATGCATATCTTGTTTGAAATATTTTCATTTTTTGTAGTGTGCATAAAGTGATTGATATACATTTTATATATATTTTAGTCAATCTTTTTTTGGTGCTTACTTTGCCTCTTTGCTTGGAAGGTTGACATTCACACTCCCAAGGACAAGACTGAGATAAAGCCTTGAAAAGACAAGCAAAAATAACATTCAACTTGTAACTACAAAGCTAACCTTCCGAAACAGACTCATTTAATAATCATACCCATTTTTCTTTGGAATAAATTCTTCCATTTGAAAGATTAGGCTTGGCATATTTTGAATGTGACCTTTGACCTTCTTCACCTCATTCTTCTCCTCTTCAGTCAGTCCTTTATCAAATCTATAATTCAGAGTAGGAAATGTATATTAAATTGTTACAATCATAGTCAGTATAACAGATCATAAAAGAAAAAAAGACTAAATAAAAACACGTTACTTTGACAAAGCCTTTAAATTGTCCTTTAAATTCTTTTTCTGTCGAGATATTGAGGCAGCAAAGCTTTTTTGAAGTTTGGAGACTTCCTCCAACTTCTGCAGGTAAAGCCGATGGGTCTCCTGGACACAGAAATGTTTTATATCCACAGAAAAGTTCAGTTGTTTTGTAAGGTCTTCGGTTCTGAATCTGAATAGATTCAGAAAGATAATATCCTACCTGAAGCTGCTGTAATTCTTTCTCCTGAACCTTCCATTCTTGAAGGGCTGTTGCGAGTGATGTCGACATGTAAACTTTATCAGTACAACTACTCAGTTAAACTAACCAGATTTCTCGGATAACTAAATGCAGAGAAACAAACTGTGATGGATACACAGCAATGTCTTCAATGCAGATTTCTGTGTCGAATTTAAAGACTGCATCAGTTTAGAAGCATTTCAATAGACAATCTTCGTCGTATCTCTTATTTAGCGATTGCAATATAGGCTTGAACTTTGTAGTGAACTTTGACAGACCAACTTGACTGACCTTTGACACACTTGGTTGCTTGCACTTTACAGGAAGGGCTACATGTTCAGGGTTTCAACACTGTGAATTCTGACATATGAAATAATGTGAAATTGTATTTAGCTATGACAGAAACTTCACTGCACATTTAAAAACATTATTAACTAGAGAATACATAGAGTCTAGTAAATTATGTTGTTAGTTCTAATTATGCCTTAGTTGCATAATCCAATAATCCCTCATAAATCCCATTGATGTAAAAGAGCACTTAAAGAGAGAGAACAGCTGAAACAATGAAAACTTGAACTTTAATCGAGTGATAACATTTTTAAATACCTTACAGCAGGATTCAGGTCAAATATAGGCCTAATTTTGTTTCAATATCTTAAACTACTGCCTGGTCATGTATTATAGGAACTTTCAATGAATATGGTACACTTTGGTGTTCCATTATTTTTGTATTTAAAGCATTATAGGCATAAATTCCCCCTTTATTGTGTTAGTCCTGTATGTTAGATAAACTAGGCTATGTGTGTAGTAGATGTAGCAAAACTATATTAGTTTTTAGTGTTTTTACGTTTATTTTATTACATTTATTTAATTTCGAGGGGTTTTTTTATATTTGTTTCAAGAAAATTGTAAAATCACGCAAATTAGTTTTTTATTTAGCCTAAAATTAAAATAAAGTTATAAAATTGTTTTCGACTTCCTGATCAACACTGGATCTTAATCACATGACATGAATTCTTCCGCTAAACGTTTTTAATAAAGCAAGCTTATTTGTTTGTTTAACGTCTTTTCAGGTCTATGCATCTGATCCGCAAGACTTTATTTGTCCTTTAGCATCCTCTTGCGTTCACTCGCGTCATCAGATGCTCGCACGGCGCATGCGCCTTCATGCGACTGTAGTATTATCATTGACCTAAGCAATATTTAAACTGCGCAGGGGGGTGGCCTGTCAAGAAACGTTGGACTGTAATACCATGGGTGGGTTTACAAATAAATACATAACGTTCCAACCAAAGCAGGATCTAATCTGACTGATAGCCTATATGTTCTGCCTCAGGGCTTCTCTCGGCTTTCTTCTGATCGGTGATACAGTGTGTCAGCGGCGGCTGGCCAGAGGTGCTGGATGATAGCTACCGGTGTGTGTGGAAACTCCAGAAGAGCCTGTCTCGTTTTAATGAATTTGTAGTCATATAAGGTGCTTTACTGACTTGCTTGTCCGATTGCCAAACGTAAAAATGAGCGTCGCGGTTTATGTTTTGACCACGGTGACCGGGTATGTGCTAACATCGGCGTTACTGCTGAAGTGTCCGTCACTGCTGCACCGGCGAAAGAGAGAAACCTTCAGAAGCAGACACATCTCACATCGCGGCGGTGAGTGGACAAACGATGCTTTTATAAGTATAAATGTCAAATATAAGCTACAGCTTTTTGTAACGTAACGTTTGTCCAGTCAAGTCAAAACCCAGGGATCAGTGATATGCAAAATGCTGACTATGTAGCCTAACGTTAGTAAGGAAGCGTATAGGTTTTGAATCAATGAACGAACCTTGACATTCATTTATAAGATTGCTGACTGTAAAAGTCACACACTTAAAAAAAGTAGCTATATAACCCATCTAAGTTGTATATTCTAAACCATCACCCATTTGATGAGAAAATAAATTGACAATTACCTATTACAGTGTTTCCCAACCCTGTTCCTGGCGGCACACCAACACTGCGCGTATGTCTCCCTTATCAAACGCACCTGATTCAACTCATCAGCTCATAATCAGATGGGTTAATGAGTTGAATCAGGTGTGTTTGATGATGTGCCGCCAGGAACAGGGTTGGGAAACACTGGCCTATTATATAGGCCTATACATACATTCACACAAATCTATGGAACACCCAGCTCAATGAAAGCGAAAGTACAAACTTCCATAGTAGTACATTATGATATAATAAGTTCTCGATCTGTGAAATCCAAACATAATGTTTGCGACCCGGGGTCCAAATAATTTACAAATGGCTCCCATATTTGAGTTCCCAGTGGTATCAGTTCCATTAACACTTTTTGCCATCCTTTCACAGAGGTTTCGAGGGAGGGTGAAGGGAAGGGGTAGGTTATCAATGATCCACTGCTAAAGAAAAATGTTCCATGCTGCCCAAATTGAAAAGTCTTCTGTTAGCCATCGCTTGGTATGCCCATGTAACTGGTCCTACTTGACTCGCTCCCAGTGGGATTCAAACTGGAGTGTCCGGTGGGCGCACTAACAAGGATGTTAGACCACAGCCACTAGTGGCTGGCACTGGCACACCTCTTGAAGCAAGGGGATTTAGGTTTACACTCACAGCCCTTTCTGGCCTACATCTGTTACACCTAGTAGGTGAACATGATTTCACAAAGTACATCTTTGTTTATGCTGGAACAAAATTCCAATCAACCAATAAGATCTGAAGGACAAGAGTACGGTTTGTCAAGTTTAGGCTTACAACCCGGGTTAGGTATTTTTACATCAGTGTTATTCACCAACTATCTCACATTTTGATTTTAGGGATAGTTTATGGGAAGGGGTTTGTTACGGGTAGGGATATGGTGAGGACTAAATAATCAGAGGGGAATGTTGTTACAGGAACAAGTGTTGAGGGTTCCAGTTCCAGGTTTATACTTGGAAACTTTAACATTTCACAAAGTATGTTATTCCAATAATTTTTTGCATTTAAGACAAAAAGGAGAAAATGAATTGTTAAAAGTATGTGTGTGGTTTGGTTAGCCTATGTAATCTGTGTTATATCTTCAGCTAAGTTGCTTTCATGATTACAGACTGATATTCTTTTATCATTTTCCCATACTTTGTCCCAAATATCCTCATCAATTGGAACTTCAACTCGCCCTCCCATAACTTCTGAATTTTCTATGCCAGTTCGATATATATATATATATATATATATATATATATATAAATTTCCCAGATGCTTGAAAAGGTAATTTCTCAACTAGAGATATTTCAAAATTATCATGTAATGATGTACTTCTTTGAATAAAATGCCTAATTTGCAAAAAATCTAAAAACTTCTGACTTTAGAAGTTTATATTTATCCATAATTGGTCAAAATTACATTAGGTTACCATCAACAAACGAGTCTTAGAGCCTTACTACACCCCTTGTCACACCAGGAACTAAAGTTCACATAATTCCATGTTAAAAATCTGGATTATGTAAAATTAGGGATACAAGACAAATTTCATAATACCTTCATGTTGGTTCAGAGGGTTCATCATTGACTTGTCTTTATTGACTAGGCACTGGACTGTGAAGTGGAATACCGTAGAAACTATAGATATAGTCTGAATATAAACATTACCTAAAGTAATTATTTTACTACCAAAATCAATATTGTAAGCAAACAAAGCACTGCTACTACAAAATAGCTACATTTTGTCCTGATATTTATTGTTTTGTTCATCTTCAGGGGCCGGTGAGAACTTGGAGAACACAATGGCAGCCTTCAAGCAGTGAGTTTATCAATGGGCTGCTGTTTATGGCCTGGATTTGCATTGATGAGTGTGACTGTACATAAAGCATATTTAGTTAATATATAAGTATACTTGATGTTGTAGAATTCAGAAGTATTCAGAGTGGGGTTTTTTTTCCCCTCTTTTCTATATTCTCGTTTCATCCTTACTGTAAGTGGCATCATCAGTTGATGAATAAATTGATGAAAAGGATGAAAAGCTTTGTTAACTTATGGACAAAAACATCCTTAACTCACCTGTTGTATGTTTTCTACTTCCTCAGTGCTGTAAAACTTGGCACTGACATGTTGGAGCTGGACTGTCACTTAACCAAGGATGAGCAGGTGGTGGTATTGCATGATTCCAACCTCAAGAGGTCGACTGGCATTAACTCATACATTTCCGATGTGGCTTATGCTGTGAGTGGAGAAACTTCATCCTGTATTTACATTCGCACTCACAGTCCTTGACTAATTTGCAGCAGACATAAAACTTTTATATCAGTAAATAAATGCTGTAATATGAAAGTGTTTGTGTGTGTTTGTCTTCTTAGGAACTTCCACCTTACCTTTGTAAGCTTGGGGTGACTTTCAAACGAGGTGAGTGTTCAGTCCAGGTAATTGGATTCAAGGTATAATCAAGCAGATTCCCAATGTGCCTGAAGTGTTACTTATATTTATCCTGTAATGGAGAAAAAAAAATCTGAAACATCATTGAAAGATCTAATTGAAATGTTTTAGAATTTGAAAAAAATTTAAATAAGTTATATGAAAATGCTATTTGCTTCTTCACTATTTCTGTCACTAATCAAATGTGAACAAATTTATTACTGATCATGTGACCTCCTTTGTACCTGTTTAAGTTTGATGTCATGCGTCACCGCTTTTGGGTCCAAACGCTCTACCAGATGCACCAAGAAAACAACAAATGGTGCTAATATACACTCATGATGTAACGCAATACTACCAAAAAAATTATAATCCTGTTCCTTTATCTCCTCATCGAAATCCCAGATGGTCAGACAGTGATTCATGTTTTATAAATCCTTAAAACACTCCAGTTTGGGACGCAGTGAGCACAGACACAGTAGTGTACACCATACATTTTTAAAAGCTAAGCTTAAATGTGTAATATGAATAAGTAATCCTCATAAACAGCTGTTGAGATAGTATTCTCAAGTGGAACGAGTAGAGGCTTGGACCCGGAAACAGCCTTCCTTACCTCATGATTTAACAAGGTCCGATTGAAGCATGTGCCTCCATTAAAGCACAAGCTATTTGGGTCATTCTTAAAATCACACAGGATAACATGTTTATAAGATTTTTTTTTACAAACTTTTGGAATTGATGCAGTTGTAATTAAAGCCAGTGTTTACTTGATTCAAACATGTTTAGCATGCATTTATTTCAGAGTGCTACTGTGAAGGAGGAGATGACAAACGCATCCCTCTGCTGAGAGAGGTGTTTGAAGCTTTCCCAAACACCCCTGTAAACATCGACATCAAGGTCAACAATGACACCCTCATCAAGAAGGTGGGATGACCCTCCCAGTCCTGCTCATATTTCATTTCCTTGAATCCTCTGTCTGTGCGGCTGTTTGTCACCACTAAAATTAATCAGGTTAGTGAGACAAGAATGTCAGAAGCAAAATAGAGTTCTGCTTTTTTTCCGTCAGGTGTCCGAGATGGTCACCCGATACAACAGGGAGCATTTGACCGTCTGGGGAAACTCCAGCAATGAAATCGTTAGGAAATGTTACGAAGAGGTGAAACATTTTTTTTTTTTTTTTTTTGTAAACAACAAAACAGTAAATTATTCGAACTCGAAGTATGCAAAATGTCAATGTCTGATGTTTTCCCGCTTGTTTTTGTAGAATCCGCAAATCCCAGTCTTGTTCAGTTTACCCAGAGTGCTACTGTTGGTGGGTCTTTTCTACACAGGCCTCCTGCCCTTCGTCCCGCTCAAGGAACAATTCCTAGAGATTCCAATGCCTTCCATTGTTTCCAAGTAAGGAACATTTGCATTTTAGCCGTACTTGCGTACATGCTCCAATCATTATTTTTCTTCCAGGTTTTAAAAATCCTTTAGATTTAAGCCTTTAAAAATCCTTTTTAGATTTAATTTCATGCAGTGGATGAACTTTGGACGCTCTTAAAACTAGTGCTTTGCTAGACATTTTTTTCTAAAGATTTAATTGGAAATTTGAAAAGTGATAAATATTTTGTCTCTTGTAGACTCAAAGATCCTGAGCGTCTGACACGGAGTCATCGTTTCATAACGTGGTTGGCAGACACGTGAGTTTATGTACACTCTGGCCTCTTTAAACCTTTTACCTAAATAATTCCTTAACACTGTTTGTGTTTCTTGAAAGTAGAAAACTACCTGGGGGTATTACTGAAAGCAGGTTATGTGACTTAACTGGGTGTATATACTGTTGTAAGTTGATAATCTTAACTTTTGGTTCCAAAACCTTTTGGTAACTTTCAGGGTATGTACAGTAACTTATTTTCTGAACATAACCTGCACTGGACATAACATGCATGCTCTATTGATGAGGCTCCGGTGGGCATGACAGATTTCACACAATATTATACAAGCGTTAAGTATATAATCATTTATTTATACTAAATACTCAATACTCATTTTCCGCAGAATAGTTAAACGATACCAGCTGCAGACTCTAATTTCTCCGACATCAAGTTAAAGGGATAGTTCACTTTGAAATTAATTTTTGATGTTTTAGCTTACCTCAAGGGCATCCAAGATGTCTTTGTTTCCACTGTATTTTCAATTGAGATATTTTTAGGTCAAACCGTTCTTGTCTGTCAGTCATATAATGGAGGTATATGGTCACCACCTTAATGAGCATGCGCAGAGAAGTCCAAATTAAACATGATTTAATGACTCGTAAATGTAAGTACACATTGATGGCCTAAGACACGAAACGATCGGTTTGTGTGAGAAAACGAACAGTTTTTATATTGTTTCTACCTCATGTAACCACAGCCCTGTTTTTTCCCATGCTGCCCTCAGTGATAATTGTGATTACAAGCATCCAAAATTCATACTTATTTAAAGGTTGTTAATATGGTGGAATGATTATATGGGTTTATTTTCAGGCTCCTCATGAGAAAAGCTCTATTCGATCATCTGACGGGCAGAGGAATACAGGTGAGTGAGTCCTAATCTTTAAATGAGATTTAGGTCATACTGCACATGTGCTTTATGGGTAAACAATGTTTTGAGTGCTATGATGTGCATGAGCAGATGGCAGGAGCTGTGAATGGAATTTCACTCTTGTCTGGAACGTCATCATGGGACTTTTCCACTGGTCTTTACTTTTTCCTTTCCAACCACAGGTGTATATCTGGGTGTTGAACGACGAGGAGGACTTTAAACGTGCCTTTGACCTTGGAGCTACAGGGATTATGACAGACTATCCCACCAAGCTAAAGGAGTTCATGGAGAAAAACAACTACGCTACCACCCTTAAATAAGATTTGAGGCCAAAGTAAACAATCAATATGCGTTTCCGCTGACCTTTGGCCCCTGAACGGGCCTTTTTAATTACCCAGCAGTCTTTGATGTTTATGTCCGTGAGTGTAGAAGTGGCAGCTATCAGTTCTGCATTAATCAGCAATTCAGCATCAGAGCCCCGCTTTAAAGCGAACTGGATGTCATGAAATCATTCTGTAGCTTCACTTCATAGCAATACACATTTTCCATAAAAAGCTGGAGGACTTATAAGAGACTATGCTGAATGATCAATTATATTGGGGTGATGTCATGATCGTCATGATATTTCTGTGAAATTTACCCTAGTGGCACTTTCAGTGTATGATTGACTGGTAGTTTATTGCTGTGCGTCACTTTCTGCAATAACACTGAACTCACTAAAGCGTTAATTGTCTAAATGACGATACTGAAGGTTTTTTTAAGGCACAGTAAATAAACACTTGTTTTAATGTGTACTGTAGTATGGGATTGTTGAGAGACAAGTAATCAGAGGGATGGAGATTTTAAGGTTTAGTTCAGTACTATGTGGTTTAATTGTGGTTTGATTGACGTGTGTATATTTTGTGTTTGTAAATTTGTTTTTGTTTTTGAGATTTATGGCTTAAAAGATGCCTGAGTATTGCTTGAAGTGTTAGGTGTTTAGTTTTATATATGACCAGTCAGAAGTTTTGACCACAATTCGATCTTCATTATTACTATTTCAGCATGTTACAATATTAAAGTAATCAAACCTCATATTTAAGCTGCTTCAAACCCTGCTTTTTCTTTAAACTAAAACTAATTTATATAATAATAAACTAAATATAAGTTAAGTTATATATATAAAAAAAAATCATGCATGGGGAACTTTATATTTGTCTTAAATAAATTTAAAGTATTCCAGCAATTGCCTTTAGGTCAAAAGGTTTTGTGATCATCAGACACAAAGTCAGTCATGTGTGTCCAAGCTTTTGACTGGTTGTGTATGTTTTATACGGATGAAAAAGGTTTTGTTGGAGTGTAACTGGGACACAAGACAAGGGTTGTATGTGGTCATGTGACTTGAATGTACTTTTGCTGGGTCAGGAAAAGATTTTAACTTGTTTAACCACTGAAATGTTGGTGGTTTTACTTTTTTGATGCATTGAAAGAGATCATCAAAATCTCATTCTTTTAAGGATACGGGATGCATTCAAAATTGACATGACAGTAACTCACTCCTGAAATATGTAGTTGTGGAGTTCCCCCCCTTTTGTAAAGAATATACGGATATAGTAAATTTTAGCCTTGTGCTGTATTTAATTTTTTAGTTCATATTTTCTCCAAGCCACTTTCATTTGTTGTGTGTGAACTGAATGTACTGTTAAATTTCAAGTGATAGCTACAAAGATGAATTCAAAGATTAGTTATTGAGCCTATTTGGTTTCAATTGCACTGTTCAGTTTTGGATATAAAAAAAATAATTTATAAATGAATTTAAACAATTATATTTTGCCTTTGTGTTATTAATCTTATTAATTATGAGTGTACAACAACTTGATGCATTAAGTGCCAGTAACTTGAAGGGTTAGTTCACCCAAAAGTGAAAATTCTGTCAGTATTTACTCACCCTCATGTTGTTCCAAACCTCTATGTGTTTATTTATTCTGCTATACGCAAAGGAAGATATTTGGAAGAATGTTTTAATCAACAGATCTCATTCCCCATTGACTACCATAGTAGGAAAAAATACATACTATGGTAGTCAATGGGGAATGAAATCTGTTTGATTAAAACATTCTTCCAAATATCTTCCTTTGTGTATAGCAGAATAAATAAACACACAGAGGTTTGGAACAGCATGAGGGTGAGAAAATACTGACAGAATTTAAATTTTCGGGTGAACTAACCCTTTAAAATAAACACACACATATTTTGACCAGGAGAGGGCGCTATATGGTAACTAAACCTTCCTCTGACGAACCAATGGAAAATACTATAATATAAGTAACAAAATATAAATGTACAATAACATAAAAACGTCTACAACCGTACATTTAACTACTTTTAACTTTCTTTGATTATAGATTTTTCTATACTCTAATAAATTCAGTGCACTTCAATGTTTTTTTTTTTTTTTCATTTTTACAAAGCTTTAAATAAACTTACATAGTTGTATTCGTTAACTTCCTCACAGAATGAATACAGTGAAGTATTGTACTCTTTCCTTCCACGTAAAACATGTAGCTACTGTAGCTTATATATAATTTATATATATAAAATATATATTTTCGACATAAGTTCTCTAAACTCAGTTACAGTTGCAGGTAGATACCAGCCCAATTTATCATTGGCTGTTTTTTCATGTTCTAACCAATCAGCGTAATGTTGCTATGCCTCTGCGCCTCAGTGATTGGTGGAAAGAGTTGTCATTTGCCCTGTAGGTGATGTACAGTGCGATCGTGCCCATACAAAACTTAGTTTACATGCACCACGTCCACACTGTCCGCGAGCGAAGCGGGAGAAGGAATTTGTCGTGACAGGAAAGCATACGCAAAGTTTGCTGTGAATCCCGATTCACCTAAACGGAAGAGGAGCGCGTGCCACCATATCACAACCCCGTTTTCTTCTTCTCAAAGGTAAATGCGAATTGTTTTAACACGTAGTCTAAATGGAAGTGTGATAATATTTATTTGCTTTATGTAAATCAAGTCAACTGATAGTGTGTGTAAGAGCATCAGGTCAGGAGGATGACGGTGTTGTGTTCTAGTTCTGCTGGAGATGGTGTGATGCGCTGCAGGTCCGCAGTGGTGATGCTGCTACTGATGCTTGTTTATCAAACTCCGCCACTATCACATCCAGCATCACTGCAGCAGCATCATCAGTGGCACATGTGTCATATCTGACAATCATCTTCTTTATCATTACGTTTGCATGGCATATCAGTCATAAATTAAGACATCTCTGCATTAATAGCAGCATTAGTGTGCACTTACTTTATTTAGTCTGCGTCATGTCGGAGTTCTCCTGCAGGAGATAAACATTTCTCATTGATCACAGACCCACTGGTTAGTAAATATATTATTTTTAAGAAATATATATTTAAAAAAACAACAACAAAGCTTCATATTTCATACTTTCGTTGTTTCAGTGTAATTATAGGCTACATTTAAGTACTGAGTAATATTAATGTATTTACTTTTGGGGTTTGGGTTATGGGTTAGTTTGAATGTAATTGTGAATAATCTTTACTTATTACTATAGAAACTACAAGATGCACACAAGGACACTGTAAAATAACGTGTCACTGACTATTTATCTATGAATTAATAATCAACATTCCATACCTAATATTTCATATTTAGAACATGTCATAAAATGTTATAGAATATTCATTATAAATAAAATGAATAATTTAATAAGACTGAATAGATTGTTTAGATAAAAATGTGATATATTTATTTCAAACATTTTAATCGACATTTTAATAGAATATTCGGCATAAACAGAATAGATTAGTTAATAGAATTGAATAAAAAATAATTTTGACATTTAGAATATTTGAACGTTATCTAATATTTAATATTTATTCAGTATAACTGACCTACTATACCAATACAATTCTAACCACAAATAACTTTTAACTTATTATATTGGTTGTGTTTTGAAACTTACTAAGCTCCCTAACTAGTTAGTACTGATGAGTATGAGTTGATGGAGCTTAATGACATAACTCCATTAAGCAGTAGGTTGAGTTATCAACATGTTTTAAGTGTGATATTGTGATATTTCAACAAGTCTCATATTTTACTGCCATGTTTAGTGTCGATTTGCTCCAGTATGTTGTATTTGGCTTAAATTTTTTATTATTTTTCATTTTAAATGTTGTTTATTGCTCTGTTGTCAGGGGTCAAATTTAAAAACATGCTTGTGCTTCCAATGAGGAAACAGTGCCAGTAGTGCAGTGTGGCTGAAATTTAGCCCCACATAGTGTCTGCTGTCAGTGAATCAGGTTTAGTCCAGCACAGCACTCCAACATTGACTTATTGCATGAAACAATAATAAGAATTGATTCCTGTTTTATTTTTCAACGAGCTCTCTCGCTCTTACACGATCGAATTCAGAGAGCCTGAATGCTGACAAGTAATTTCTGAAACACTGTCAAATCCAATCCGGTTGACAGGGATTATGTTTTTCAATATTTTTTTTCCTGCAGGTCTTAAGCTATGGTATTATACCGTGACACTCTTTGCATGATAAACTGCATATGAATGCAAATACAAGCCATCAGAAATGGATAATCACAAAAAGCAGAACATTTTAATTTTCATGATCCACTCAGGAAATTACAAGGGCTGTTTGTTTAATCATTTGCTATGACGTAACATTCTATTACACCATTTTCCAAAATAATTTTCTTAAAAATTAAGATTGTCGGGGGGAAAGTTTCAAAAATCATGTCAGAAATCCAGATTACGAATCTTATCTCGAAGTAATTACAATAAATGCATCACCAAAAGGACTGTTAAATAAGACGCTAGAGGCTGGACAGCCAGTGAAGGGATGGACGCAGCTCAAGGATGTGTTTCCTCTCTTTCTGTTGCTGCTGTTATCCCTGACAGCGCTGTTCTGGTTACATAAGGAAGGTCCTTGCATTGCACAGGCCTTGAAGTGATGAGTGCTACAACAACCCCTCTGTCACAACAAATTTGTCAGAGCATTCAGCAAGAGACATTAAGTCAAGTCACCTTTATTTATATAGCGCATTATACAATACAATACAAATAGTTTCAAAGTATAGCTTTACAGTGATAACAGGAAAATGATTCAGTGATGCAAACATTCAGCTGTACAGCAGCTCTAAAAGAAAATAGTGTCACTGTTCAGCTGTTCAGTGTTGATTCAGTTCTATTGTAAAAAAAAAAGATCATCAATCATTAAATTGGTTCATAAAGCAGTTCTGCAGAAAACAGCGACGTCATCATCCAGCACAGTTCACTTCTCCTTCAATACTGTCAGTGCAGTGAAATCAATAATATTGTTGAATATTGAGTGTCCCCAACTAAGGCGACAGTGGCAAGGAACCCGGTTGGGGACTTGGTAGAAACCAGGCCCAGTCAGTGCTCAGTAAGCCAACAGACAAACATAGTGTGATAATGATTCAGTCTGCATCACACGTCAGAAATCAGATTGTGGATTGGAAGCATTCAAATATTTCATCCAGTTCCTTTTGCTTGAAGATCAGATTCATCCCGCCAGTATGGAGACGAAGCTGGTCATAGGTCTGTGGTCTTGTCTGGTTCTTGTGGATCTGTGCCGATGGCTGTCGTGTCGACGAGGCCTTCGCAGGGGATTGTCTAGTAGGCAGGATCTCTGCTGACATTCAGGGCTGCGTTGTGGTCGTGTCTACTTGGTGCTGGTCCACCATCTGATCTGGATATGGACTGGATACGGCTGACTACGGTAACCCCGGGATATTAATTTAAAGGGGAAATTAACAAAAGTTAAAGGTACTGTTCCCCAAAATATGTAAACCCTGTCATTATTTACAGTGCTCCCCATTATACGCGCTTTTTCACAACACAGTACCAGCTCGACTCGGCTCGGCTCGCCTTTGTTTGGATTTCCACTGTGTAAAAGTTGTACCTGTACCTGCTTTCGGATACTTTTTTTATCACCTCCTGCGAGGTTCTGATACTAAAATGTGACGTGAAAACAATGCCGACTGCTGATTGGTCAGAGATTCACTGCGTCATCATTGTACACGCCAGATGGAGTATCCAGAATAACCCCGCCCTTTTTAAATAGTTTGTCCAGAGATAGTTACTAAACTTACTTCTATTATTATGGCAACTCGGAAGAATACGCCGTGGTCAAACAAGGAGGTGCAGACTTTCCTTTGTTTGGTTGCCGAAGAGAGGATCCAGCAAGAGCTTGATGGGGCAACGAGGAACGAAAGGCGTCGCTATGACGACCGGGTACTATTTGTGGCGGTTCTGTCAATGGAAAACGGAGCGAAAAGCGAGCTGAGTCGAGTCGAGCCAAACTGGTACTGGTAATGGAAAACTGCCATATGCCTATCCAGACTTATATGCTGTTATTTTTTTCATGGAACACAAAAGTAAACATATTTACGCAACTCTTTCCATAAAGCAAAGAGTCTGGGTTCAGAAGACTGCGGGCCTGTCCAAATACCCACACAGTCTTGGACACTTGACTGTCCCAAGTCTGAAAAATCTCCAAAACTCAGTGCCCTTAACTTACACTAAAACCAAACGATCTCCAATTCTGATTCGGAGCAGTATTTGGGGTTAAGTCTATCCCATCATGCGTCATGTTCAATTAAGCTAACTTAATACGTTTAAGTTAAATTAATCAGATATTATATAATTTGGTTGTTAAACATAAAATGTTGCAAAGATTAGTATTGTACAACCTTTTTTTATCACTTAATTAGAAGCACCACAATTCAATTTTGTCGTCTGTTACATACTACTGAACAGACATATAAGCTGCGTCCCAATTCAAAGGCTGCATCCTTCGAAGGACTCCTTCAAAGTCCATGAAGGTCGGACCAGGAGTTTATAAATAGGGTGGTCTAGCCTACGGTTCTTGTCACCTAGCAACTTTGAAAGCCTCTTAAAAACAAAACAGCGTTCAAACCCTGTCTACATGTAAACTAAATAAAATCGTATCTAGGTAAGATATTTCAACATTTGAATTGTTACATTTGTATCATTAGACACATTAGATTGAGTAAGTTAAACCCCAATAATTACATTTTAAAAAGTGTAACGTGGCAATTTCTCTCAAAAATTGCGCGCAATAAATTCCAGGATAGGCTAGGCTGCGAAAGATCCATCAGTTGCATCTTTCATTGCCCACTAAACAAATGACGCATTTCGAGGCTGCATCGGACCTGGGACAGCCTTCGTCATGCCACGGTGACTCAATCGACCTTCGAAATTGGTTTGAAATTTGAAATGCAGCTATAGAAATTTATTTTAAATTCTGGGTGTGTAAATGTGTACATAAATCATCAGGTAGCTAATCAAAAGTTTCCACACACACTTGCAGTCTTCACGCCCACTTAAACTCTCGGGCCAAATACAGGAAATACATCATAGATGTAGTCAAGTGCAAAGACTGCAAGTGTGGGTATTTGGACAGGCCCTTGGAATATAACAATAATAATAATTCATTAAGTCAAAATATAGCACTTTTTTTGGCACTTAAAGCGCTTTACATATGGAAGGGGGAATCTCCTCAACCACCTGGTTGATGTGATGGCTGCCATAGTGCACCATAACACCCATAGCACACCAGCCTATTGGTGGAGAAGAGATTGGGTGATGAAGTCAATCATTATATGGGATGATTAGGGGGGCATGGTGATGGACAGTGTCCCATGGGTTAAACCCCTACTCTTTTTTTGAAGGGCGTCCTGGGATTTTTAATGACCACAGAGAGTCAAGACCTCGGTTTAACGTCTCATCCAAAGGACTGTTCTTTTTTCACAGTATAGTGTCCCATAGACCACAGTATGAGCACCCTCTGCTGGCCTCACTATCTCCTCTTCCAGCTTCAACCCAGTTTTCCAGGTTTAACCCTGCTTAGCTTCAGTGGGCAACCAATCTTGGGCTCCAGGTTGATATTAGCGCTCAAGCCATTGAGACTTTTATACACCTTATATGGTGCTTTTTGTAATTTTTGGAGCATGACAAACAGACCTAGTCAGTAAAACTGTTGTTAAGGAAAGAGCTGTGAATGGGGTTGGAATGAAATGGGAGAAATTATGACAGAATTGTATTTTCTGGGTGAATTAAATACCTTTAATGCTGGTATTTGTGATATTTACTATTGTGTGCTCTTTACAAACCCTAAAAACACTCAGAACAGCTTAGACAATCTGATTGAATCTTCTGCCTCGATCACTCTAGTTTAATCTCTTGAACTCAACATACAATTACTATAAGGCCTCTTATAAGATGTGCTGATGTGTCCAGCTTTGTGATCTGTGGCACAGTTTATGTGTGGATCAGTGATCAGTATTTGAACTGGTTGTGTCTGAAGGTTCATCAGTGTTCACGGATCAGAGCTCAGCGAATTTGTTTTTGTCTCTTTGATGAAACATTGAGATTCTCTTCCTTTGCTTTTATTGATCTGCCTGTTATGGCAATACAAAAACTGGATTCAGTTTGCAGCTGACTAAATAAGGAGGGATACAAACACAAAATCCCAGGAAAAAATGTTGGAAAAAGCATTCCAGAGCAATAAAGCCGGATTTGATTGTTTCTTAGTCATTGGTTCCTTCAGCGTTGAGTCTGAGTCTCAAAGGATAGTTTACATCTCTCTGAAATACTGGTAAACCATTAGGTTTCCACGCTTCTAATGAAAATTTATTGATGTTTACGTATAAAACATCTTACATTTCAGTTAAAATACAATAAACATGTATAGACGAAACCAGTATTAACTTTGAACAAATTAAAGCCACTTTGTCTCTCCCAAAGCTTGTGCGAGAGAAAGAGAAATCCATTATCTCATCTATTATGCAGTTATAGCAGTGTATCGAAGTGCATCGTTTGGTTGACGGTAAACTGTAAGGAAACACCATGGGTCCTTTTCAGCATCATGTCCTGAGCAAACTCGCAGAGTCCTAAAATACCCGCATGGGCCAGAGTGTGGAATTGGGGCGAGAGCGGGTCACCAGAATGCTAGAGAGTTTATTTGTGGACAAGTACAAGCGTTTGCCCCAGCCGACGGTTGTGTGTTTGTGTGGGAAAGCGCTTCGATCCATCAGTAGCCTCTTTATTCCCCAACCCCACGCTTTGACGGAAAAACAATGGACAGAACATTTTTGCAGCGCCTTTTTGCTCTGGGATCTTAAGATGGGCTCACCCCTGCATCCTCAACAAAGCCTGAGAGAGCAATGCACCAATAAAGCATCAGACTGGTGCATAAAAACAGATGCTAACCACTGGACATTCTTAAAGGGGAAGCGTAAAATTTCTGCACCACAAGTGAACAAAATGGAAAAAGTATATGATCAGGCCAAAGTGGCCACCCCAATGTCTTTCTCACCAGGTCTTTCTGGCCCAAGTTAAAAGACCCTACAGCAAAGTATCTGATCGCTTAGAAAAGTAACAGCACACTTTTCCTCAACAAGCCACATGATTTAAGAAGTATTGTTTTGGTATTATTTATATATTTGTTCTATTTTGAAGGTTTTTTGAGTTTTTCATCTGATCTTAATTTTTTTGTCTGATTTCATTTTTATTTCAATTAATGAAAATGATTTTTAGTAACTTCAGTTTTAGTTAACAACAACAACACTGGATTTAAGGTTTTGTTGATTAAATGTAAACTGTGTAGGACAAGTTATGTACCAAAGTTTAGGGATGGGAACCATGAGAAATTAAATGTTTCCAGTTCCACTTCTGATTCTTTATATTTGGTCACCGAGATTTGTGGACGACGTACACTGTAAAAAAGTTGGGCATCGTAACTCTTCTTCCTTCCACTGTAGAAAAATGAAGCAAAAATTTCCCAGTAGCGATTGTTGCTGATTGCATCGTTCGGAGCCCGAGTCTGCGTAATACTATAGTGATCCTGAAGTGGAGCCGCTACATCAAGTTCCCGCCCAATAACTCATCATAACAAAACTCAATGGGAAAACTAACACTTGAACATGTTTACATGATGAGAACTAACTAAAATGGCAGAAACCATCTTTGGGAAAGAGTAATTTGGCTTGTGTTCCATTCGATTACATGGAGAGGGTGGGTTTAAAGACCTATACTGCACCCAGCCACCAGGGGGCTGTTTTGACTTCACTTTTTAGGATGCGTGCGCGTGCGGGACACTTTGTTAAACTACAATGGTTGCACTGTATGGTCATATTTGAGCTAAAAAAGCTCCTGCTTATAAGATCAATTTGTTTAAGAATTGTGTGATTCACACTGTAGATTCAGTTGCATTGTAGATTCTGAATAAATAGTTTCTAACCATACCCAAGGGGTGATCTAACCTTGTTCAACAGATAGTCCCGCCTCAAATTTACAGCACTGGTTGACTTAGGCCCCGTCCACACTGCTGCATTTTCGTTTACAAACGGAGACCTTTTGCTACGTTTGCACCTCCTGTCCAGACTAAAACAGAAAAAACGAAGACCTATCCGTTTTGCGTTTTGAATCTCCGGAGGGCGTTTTAGTGAAGACGGGACAAAACGTAGGACGTTAGAAACGCAGAGGCTGACGCTTGTCTCTATGATTGGGTGTCATCAGTCATGACGTGTCCTTCCCTGATTCGTCAGCCACCCATCACGTCAATCCGTTTCCTGTTTACACTGGCACACGCATGCCCAGTGTTGGTAAATGGTCACGTGATCCGCGTTTTCAGTCATTTGAATGTAGACGGATATCAATTCTAATACACGGATAAAACGCTGGTGTGGACGGAGATCGTATTCGTTTTAATTCTCAGTTTTTAAACGAAAACGCAGTAGTGTGGACGGGGCCTTAGAGTTCGCTCACAAAAAGAGTGCAATGCAATCTATACAGCTGTGATGCTCATCCCAGGACATCCCTGTGTGTGCAGGTGTATACCTCCCACCCCGCCCCACCACGGCCCTCACCTGTGTGTTGCGGTGCTTCCCATGTGAGCCGACCTGGGCCGGCAGCCCCTTCTTGCACCGCCCGCCGACCCGGCCCATGGTCACCATGACGCGCTCCAAAACCTTCCAGGCGTACCTGCCCAGCTGCCACCGCACCTACAGCTGCATCCACTGCAGAGCACACCTCGCCAACCACGACGAACTCATCTCCAAGGTGATTAAAGAGCGGAGAAATCACCACCTGACGACACCAACAAACATGTTTGTTAAGCATATGAGAAGCGCACAGATTGGAAGATCAACACATGCTGTTTAATGTCACATCAGTTCTGCACGGATGAAAAGCTCAGATTAACATTTAAGTGAGACATCACATGCAATTCTCTTTTTTCTTTTAGTCCTTTCAAGGAAGTCAGGGCAGAGCTTATCTCTTCAACTCTGTGTAAGTGTTTTTAAGTGAATATTTGTTTGTACATTTCTGTTATTTGAAGGAGTTTGACATGTCAGTTGTGCGCATATACACTACCGCTGAAAGCTTTTTTACAGTTTTAAAAAAGACTTTTGCTCACCAAGGCTGCTTATATTTGACCAAAAATACAGTGAAAACAATAATATTGTGAACTTTTATTACACTTTAAAATGGTTGTTTTATTATATTTAAGATGTATTTCATTTCTGTGATGCAAATGTGAATTTTCAGCATTACTTCAGTCTTCAGTGTTACATGATCCTTCAGAAATCAGTCTAATATTGTCACGGTGTGGGGTTTGTGTCTTGTTCCTTGTTCTTGTCTGTCATGTGATTCCCTGTTTGTCATGTGTTCCTACCATGCGTCTTGTCTTCTGTTATGATACGGCAAGAACGAAGCAGAGATGGAATCCAATCGCAAGCACTTTAATAATCCAACAAACAAACAAACAAATAAATAAATAAATAAATAAACCAGGGTAAACTCAGAACAGGGAACTAGTAACAGCATAATATCAAACAACAACCGACAGCAAACAACTGAAACACAGGGGTTTAAATACACAGACACACAAGCTAAACAAGATAACAAGGGGGCGTGGTTAACAAGAAACACCTGGGAGACTAATAAACAAAAACGAGGAACAGCTGTGGACACATGGTAGGAACACGTGACAAACAGGGAATCACATGACAGACAAGAACAAGGAACAAAACCCACACTGACAAATATGCTGATTTGCTGCTCAAGAAGCTATTATTATTATTATTATCAATGTTAAAAATAGTTGCTGATTCATATTTTTTGTGAAAACCATTATGCATTTAATTTTTTAGGATTCGTTGATGAATAGAAAGTTTATACCTGTCTATATCTTCATTTCCGTGATTGTGTCTCTCTGGTCTCCTCAGGGTTAACGTGGGATGTGGCCCTGCAGAGGAGAGGGTCCTGCTCACGGGGCTTCATGCGGTGGCCGACATCTACTGCGAGAACTGCAAAACCACACTGGGGTGGAAATATGTAAGGAAATCCTCTCAACACATGGAAAGTTAAAGTACATTTACATAAAAGTGACATCACCTCATAACACAGGTCATTTACATATAGTAGTCTTAAATGTACAGTATTAAAAACAGTGTAGATAGGGTGGAAAATGACAACTGATTTATAAATGATGTGCAAGATACTTTGACTAACATTATAACTGCACATTAGTTCACCCAAAAATGACAATTCTGACTTTCTTTCTTCTGTGAACTGTTTTGCCCATTTGGAAGTCAATGGGGTCCAAAAAATGTTAAACCCCACTGAAGAAAGAAACTCATACAGGTTTGAAACAACATGAGGGGGAGTAAATGATGACAGAATTTAATTTTTTGGGTGTACTATTCCTTTAAAGCTTTCCATTTACACCCATAAGTCCCGTGCTCAACAAATAGTCTACTTGCTGCCCCATTTACCTGAAGAAACTGAATGTTTGCATGTTAACATTGACCGGAAAAGTCACCAGAGTCACGATCACTCGAGATAATAGCACATTGTTAATATGCATGACATTGCGAGTTCAAGCTTGCTCATAAAGGCTTGTCTAAGCAGGACACATTCCTTGCACGGTATCCATTTTTAATCAGCAGCTGTGCCACATGCCGATTGTTTTTTCGGTGCTGGTGGATTTCCGGTCGCCCTTGACATGGAGTTTACGTTCCCAACAAGTATACGTTCCCATAGTGGCCTGGTTATTTATAAATACGTCAGATATTTTTGTCAGTGTGAATGCAGACGTTTCAGAGAAGCTTGACCCAGTGCCCTTCTCCAGAAATCTGATGAGTGCTCCCTTTTGCCTGCATCCATCAGCTATAAAAAGAAAGGACAAATATTTAATGCTGTAGTGAAATGGTTTGACCTATCTTCTATGATGACCATGATTTTGATTACTGAATTAAAATTAATTATGTTTTTGAATGTCATGAAGGTCTGAAAACTGATACAATAATGAAGAAAAAAGCCCAATTAAAGGAATGACATTCTTAGAAAAAAAAAATATTTTGACAAAATTGTGGTCCAACCAACATGCATTAAAAAATAATAATAATATATATATATATATATATATATATATATACACTGTACCTTACTAACTATTAATACTATTAATAAGCAGTAATTAGGAGTTTATTGAGGCATTAGTCGCTTAATTCGGCATTGAGGCATACTTTTATTTATTAATAAAATGTCATGTGGTGCGACTCCCCAAAAAGCGTAATGTATTTTTAATCAATAATTCATGATATTTGTAAAGATACTTTTTGCATGGCATTGCAACTTTTTTTGCTAATAATGATTAAGATGTGTACACTCACATGTATTCAAGGTGGAAGGAAAATATAATTTATTTGAAGGTTACACCACATGACATTTTTAGAGTGATTCAATTGTTTTTTTGCCATGAAAGTTTTTCAAAACTAAATGAAACCAACATTAACGATTTTTCCTTTTTATCGTGAACAGTCTGTCATTAACCCATAAATTTCACTGTCAGTTTCACATCCAAGTTAGTCCTGCGGTCAATATGGTTTCTCGCTCTCCTCCTGCCCCCAGGAACATGCCTTTGAGAGCAGTCAGAAGTACAAGGAGGGCAAGTTCATTATCGAGCTCGCCCACATGATCAAGGACAACGGCTGGGACTGAGCGAGCGTCCTGGAGAGAGCAAGCAGATGACGGGTGGATGGTGAATGCGTGGGTGAATGACTGACTTTGGTTTGCCATTACCCTCTTAAACCCTCTTCTACCCTCCATCTCCTGCTGACACACACGCCTCTAGCTGGAGCCAAATCAGGAGAGCGGGCCGCCCCGGGGGGCTTTGTGTGTCTGGAGGAGAGAGCGCACGCGTGCGTGTGTGTGTGTGTGTGTGTCCACCCTGGCACATGGGAGTTCACAGATACATGAATGCATACACAAGGTGTACAGACATATGTGTGTAAAAACAACAGCATACACTCTCACGCTCATCTCAGCCTGACTGTTTATACTACAAGCGGCTCTATTCATGCACGTATATGACATAAGGCAGGGCTCAGAGGGCATGTTGTGCCTGGCAGGATCAGGGTCACGAGTTCGCCGAGCTGATGGGGCTTTCTCCACTTTGTGTTAGTGAGAAACTATCAGGCTGACCTATCCGAATTCAGCACCATCTGCGCAAGCGAGGAGATTTGGCATGGATAGATCTCTGAATGGACCAACACAAAGGGCTTAAAGGAGTAGTTCACCCAAAAGTGAGAGAATGCACTATGAGAACTATTCCTTTAAACCGTCCGAACCGTATTTTCGCATTTCAATCCAGTCATTTCAATCCATGTGTTTCACGTGAGGGCGAAAAAGTTGCCTCATGTTCAAGTTGGTTATGCGAATTCACTGCGCTGACCAACAGAAACCTGCTTGGTTTGAAAGTGACTGATGTGTGAGCTGTGTTTAATACATCGCTGCACAATTGAAATTTTGCTGTAATGTGATCGCATCTTAAAGAAGGGTAGAGTGAACTTTACTGAAATGCTTTTAGCATAAAACGACCATCTAACTGAAGCATGCTCATAATTACGTGAATGTAAACCTTTGTGTATAGCAGTTTACAAGGCGTTTTATCGGGACATCTTTGTGTCTGTGTTCCATGTTCCAACAGTTTGTGCTGGTCCCAGTTACACGGTGTTAATTCGTACCGACTGTTCTTGCGTGTTAATGGACTCTATGGGGATTAAGGACCTAAGATGAGACCATACACTGCCTATCCATTAGGTTATTAAAATGAAAATAAAAAAGAATTAATCTAAAAATACTGTTTATCATAGCTCTTCTGTAACTAAATGACACCAAAAATCACCAAAGACCCAACTGCAAATGAGTTGACCTAACGAATGGTAGCATGTTGGGTTGTATGTCGTGGAAAAACAAACTTCTTGATGTATTTAATTGGCACAAAATTTGAATTGATACGTGGATATATATGTGTATAAATGTATTTATTCACCATAACTGATTTTCATCCGTGTCAGGGACTAAGTTGCTGCATTTGTTTATCGCTTTATGTCTGGACACCAAAATTTACTACTTTTGTATTCCAGTAAGAAGTTTCAACTGTAGTGTTTTTTTTATAAATGGATGAGGAGAGAATTATGATATTATTGGAACTCTCATCAACATTGATATAAAATGTCAATAAAACGGAAATATTGATTGATTTGCTTAATGTTTTTATTTTTCGTGGCACTTTAAAAATAATTAATTCGGTGATTGGGTACTCACCTTCATGTTGTTCAAATCACAATGAGATTAACAAACGAGATTTAATATCTTAATATCCACGAGTTAGTACCTTGAGGCCACGAGTTAATATCTTGAGGCCACGAGTTAGTATCTTGAGGCCACGAGTTAGTACCTTGAGGCCACGAGTTAGTATCTTGAGGCCACAGGTTAGTATCTTGAGGCCACAGGTTAGTATCTTGAGGCCACGGGTTAGTATCTTGAGGCCACGAGTTAGTATCTTGAGGCCACTAGTTAATTATAATTAATTTTTTTGCCAAAGTGGGACTAGGGGGGCTCCATAGGTTTAACCAAAAAAATTATAAATTCTGTCATTTTACCTTCATGTTGGTTACCTGAGACCAAACACTTAAACTACATCATATGTGTTTGGGAGGACATGAAGTCGAGTAAATTACGTCAATTTTATTTTTGGCGAGAATGATCCCTTTAAAAAGACTTGTAATACTGGGAACAAGTCATATTTATATGTTGCTTTTTTGGTCATTAACTGAGCTCGACACCCAAGGTCCCATTTATTTTCAATGTATGGAAAAGAGCAGCTAGGACATTCTGCTTCTCCTTTTATGTTCCACGTAAGAAGGAATTCCCTATAAATTGGGTATGACATTAGTGTAAATAATTTCCATTTTGGGCGAAATATTGCTTGAATTGTATTTTTTCTGTTTTGTAGTTTAAATTTTTTATTTCAGCTCCAACTTTATTAACAGATACGCCCCAGTCCTTCCTTCAACAGTGCAAATGAGGTAAAAATCCACATGTGGCCTCACTATAACAATAAGAGCATTATTCAATATGGAGGATCTTAAAATACAAGATGGTGGCTGCTCTCCATTCCTCTGTTGTTCCAGGGAGTGTGCCAGCCTTTCAGTTGCCCTACGTCTCTTCTTTACACAGACAGATGGCTCTGTGTTTGCACTGGAGGCCGTGTCTCCTAGCAACTGGCTCTCTCTTTCTCTCCTCAAGTTGCGGAGGAGGCAGTGCAAGTGTGTGTCTGTGAAGGGCTGGTGTCATTCAGTGTCTGGGCCCGGAGTTTATCTCACACACACACGCTGACTGAGGTTGTTTAAGGTCTGTCAGAGTTTGGATGGTTCTCTGGTGAGTGTGTGGGCGAGTAATATAACCTACAGTTGATTACCCAGCTCTCCGGCGGTTGATAGATAAATATGTAGACAGGAGCTACAAAGAAAAATACACACAGGGTGCATATATACACTGGATTATAACTGTATCCTATTGTTCCAAGTCCTCAGATGACCTTTCACTCTTGGAGAACGAGACTTAAAGCCATAGCTACGTCTTGTCTCGCCGTTCCCTCAGCACGAAGATTAAACAGAGAAAGGAAGTTCAGAAGAATGACAAAAATGTCATATAGTTATGGAACAACCTGAGATGAGTAAATGGTGACAGAAATTCACTTTTAAGTGAACAATGCCTTGAATAAATGCAGGAATATCCAGCCATAGGATGAGGCGTATAGGGACGTAATGACTCGGCAGAAAATCTAGCAAAGAACGCCAAGTGCTCATGTTCCAGAAACATCAGACTGCAGTAAGGAATGATGGCGCTCCGAGCGGATCGGGTTCTGTTTATTGGCTGGTGAAAGTGTAGTCCTCAGGGAGAGCCTTCTTTTTTTGGCCAATGACCTCACATCTGCATCCGCCTCCTCGTCCAGCAGCAGCGCTTTTTACTGTTTACTTGGAACACAAGACTGTAGGCAAAAGCAAACTCTTAAAGGGATAGTTCGAACTATCCCTTTAAAATGCCAGAGCTTGGAACACTGGCATGTTTATGGGAGGTTGACTGTTTTGAGGTGACCACCCATCCCCACCCTTCCTATTTAACAGAGACGGCATTCACAAGCATCTTTTTTCAGAAGCAGTCCTTTATTCTCCGTTTGTGGTGAAGGCAAGGCTTGCTGTAACCTGATGGAGTGTTAGCTGCAGAGGCTAAAAATAGCAGAGCTGATCAGTGAGTCAAAACTCTGCAGCAGAGACTGACTCAGACGGACACACACACACACTGACACACTGAACAGAGAAAGCACGAGAGATTCAAAGAGTGGTATGAGACGAGCATGTGGCATATTCCAGTTAAATACTAATGCACTGTGATCACTGGGAGGCGTAGAGTTAAACAGGGACTTTGTTTTTTTCTGTGGATTAGGGATTGTGGTAATCTCTGCATTTGTTTAAGATTATACAGATTGATTTATTCCTGTGGTCTACATTTAGGCGCAGACCATGGAGAGTGTATGTGTGATATTATGGAGGCATAAGCCCTTTACATCTCACATTTAAAGGGGTCATGAAATGCATTTTTAGTGCACATATAATATTACTATGATTTTCACATACAAATAGTCATAATTTAGAAATAAAAGGCAATTTCTTGCATGATTTTAGCCCTCTGATTTCAACGCTCCGTTGAAAGGGGCGTGTCTGTTGTGAGACTTTAGTGTAAACGGCCACTGCTGTGATTGGCTAACATCTTTACAATATACAATATAGCCAGAGACAGAGATAGAGACAGACAGAATCACCTCTGATTAATTTCAACAATAGAGGCATTGTCTTAAATACTTAGAAAGAAGTTGAACACTTTCCAGTTAAGAAATATTACTGTTTAGAATTTATCACAACACAAATAATGCACTACCAATAATGTCCAATAGATGGAATAAGAAGCACAGACATGAGCATACCTTAAAAGTGTTAGAAGGCCTAGAAGTGTTGCTACCTTTACAGAATCGCAGTAGTCTGCATTATTTCCTTTCAAAAAACACAAAAAGAGTTTAGAGAAAAAATAAATAAAGAGTTTCAAAATTATTTTAAAAATGACATTAGCAGTAGTTTGAGGTGTGTGGTCTAACTGTAGCAGTTTGGAGATGACATCAGTGGATCTTAGACTCGTAGGAGCTAGTTCATCAATAGAGGATGATGGTGTTCTTAACACCCTCAATGATACAAGTCTATCAGAAAGCTGGGGTCTTCATTTATAAGTAATTACAGATTACTGCAAACAAAAGGGGAAATAACAATCAAGAAACAAAACCACAACATAAATATCAGCATTTTTTATTATTTAAAACATTTAAGTAAAATCGAATCTAAATGTAAAACATAACAAGTCCAGAGTGATCCCTTAGCTCAGTTTTTCTGCAATTCATGTACATCAAACAATTCACAATTAATTCAATGAGTCTTTTTACAATTTCATTGAAGCAAACTCAATAATCCAGTCTCATAGTGAAACCTGGGTTTAACCCAAATTTACTCCAGTTAGTAACCAGTGCAGTAAAATATCACTTACCAGTGTATGAGTTTTCACCGGTGCATACATCCATCTTAGACTGCCTGAATAAATGTTCTGTTTTTTCATGAAAACAATGGTTTTAAAAAATTGCCAAATTGTTCAGTCTTAAGTCCACTGAAAGATTTCAAATGCGGTGATGTCATAGCTCCTCCCATCTCTTCTTGTGGAAATGAAACATCAAAATGTACGGCTATACTGAGTATGTTAGATCATCATGTAGATTTTTTGTCACAACTTTTATTGCATATTTCACATACTTTTTGCATTTGGACATAATTATTAACATAATTACTTTAAGATTCATTATTACATGATAAACAAAATTGTGGTGGCAGTTTCTGCATCATTCATCCCCATTTTTCTACAGATGAAAAAGTGGAAAGAGGAGCTTGACAAACTCCACCACAAAAGTTGTTAGGAGTTGTGGGAAATAAGGACTCAAAAACCATGCATGAATGAATACACTTCAAAAATACACTTGAAACAGAAAACATACATTCTGCTGGTACCTTTGTATCGATCCCTCACTGAAACTTTATTCAGAAGTGAAATATGGAATTGTTTATGAAATGTTTTTCCTGAGTTTACTGGATGGTCCCTTCACTTTATAGAAATGAACACAGATGTTTGTTTAGATACAACATTTTACAAGAAAAAAATGTCTTAAGCAAACATTCCTGGCCCTTCAGAAAAACAATGAATATTTAACAGAAGGGAAGAAATTAAGATTTTCAAAGCTGGAAAACATAGTTTGACAACAAATATTCATAGCACTAAACTGTTATTTTCATATTCGTATTGGTGCATTGGGTGTAAATGTATCTTGTCTGACATGTGAGATGATCAGTGGTGCTGCATTTTTACCTTTTTCGTTGTTACAAGGGCAAAAGAAGGGGAAGAGTTTCTCAGTGAAAGACTGACCAGTGAAAGAATAAATATGAGATCTGAACTCCACATCATAGAAGGAAACCAGACCCTCCTCATAATCCACAAACACACCCACAACCTGAGGCTTCACTCTCAGAGACAGAGACACAGGAGCAGATTCATAAGCCTGATAGTGATTCCCACCCCTCAGAAATACAGCCCAGTATCCATTCTCAGGAGCTGCTGTGATCATTCCCTTCCTGTTAATGGATTCTCTGGCCACTCCTAAATCCCACTTAGTCTTTCCCTTTACCTGCACCTCATAATAAAACCTTCCTGAGCTGAACCCCTCTTTTGTCAAAACACAGCAACAATGATCAAACCTCTTTGTGTTGTCTTTGAGTTCAAGCTCAGTAGCTCCACTTGTCACTTGTTTTCCATCATTAGACAGGATGAGGAATGGATGAGCTGTCTCAGGATCCAGAGTCACATCCACTGAGAGAGCGATAAAGATCTGAATCACTAAACTATTCAATATGACAAATTTAAAATAAAATGTAAAAGAATTTATAGAGTAGACTTTTTGTATATGATTTTAAACTCTTATTGCGTGACAATGTAATCAAACAAACAAAAGATTGTACCAGCATATCGTTGTATCCTCTTCAGCTCTGGGGAGATTAATGACAATAAATGTTATGAGAGAACTTTAATACAATACAATTATATGATCAGCTTATGTGTGTTTTCCTTATTACTGCCTATAACTGACACTAATGAATGTACAAGTTTGTGGTGATATCGTGGTGTATTTCAGTAGACTCTATGAGAGGAGAAACCGTGTCAGGTGCCTTGACAGAAATTATCCAAAGAAGCAAATCACTTAGCAAAATCTTATTAAAAACATGTTTTTGAGAAAAGCCCCTGATTTAAAATACAAAAGCAACACAAATGTGAAGAAATAAGAATAAAATTTAGACACAAGGGAAAGTTGTCTAGTTCAGAGTAAATCCCTTAAAGGGTCATGAAACTCCAAACTAAATTTAATAAAATAAAAAAATTAATCATTTTTTAAAATGCATTTATAGTGTCTATATAAACCACTATATATTTTATAATAACATTATATTATATGTGTAGCCTACATAAATATATTTTAAATAGAATTACGATTACTGTAGGCTAATATATGTAGCGGTGCATTCAGTTACTTTTAAAAGAACAATAATAAAGTGTTAGAGTATTTTTTAAGACTTTAACTTTGCCAGCTATATATAAAAAAAATCTAGCATCTCCTCACGTTTTACCACTGCTTTTTAGTGACAGTCGATTTGCATGGGACATTGCCGATGACAGTGATGGCCATACCACACCCACTCCCTCCCTTCTTCTCACAGCTATCCACGCCCATTTAAGTTGCATTTTTCAAAAAGATTGTGAACTAGATTTGAGCTGAAAAGGGGGGGTTTCATGACCCTTTAATGTGACTGAACTGTATGTTTGATTAATGATTGTTTCTTAATGAGGTGCATGTGCCATTTTCTTACATAAAGAATAAGATAGTTACTATCAAAATAAGCCTGACATTCTCTTACCAGTTTTGCTGAGTTTCTCTTCTATAGTCTCCCGCAGCTGAGTCAAAGCTTTCCTTAGATTCGTCCCACTCTCATGAGTGTCACTAACACTGATCTCAGTGCAGCTGATGGTGTGTGCAGGTCTGCTCAGAGACAGGTAACTCTACAGCAGGAGAGAGCAGAAATCTCTCAGTGTTGCGCTGTGATGTAAGCAGACAGAAGGATCTACATACTGACCTGTAGGAGCTGCAGGTGATCCTCAGTGTGTGCGAGCTGCTCCAGCTCAGTGTCTCTCCTCTTTAGCTCAGTGATCTCCTGCTCCAGCTCTTTAATGTGCTCTTCAGTCTGCTCCTCTGCTGCTTTCTGCTTCTGCTCCATCATCTCCAGCAGCTCAGACTGACATCTCTCAATGGAGCGGATCAGATCAGTGAAGAGCTCAATACTCTCTGCTTTCTCTATCTCTAATGTTTCCTGATAAATCAAGGAATACATGATCTTTTATTGCTACTTCAGCACCATTTTTACAATGCAAAATTAAAACATCATAATACATAGAATATTTAACATAATCAATTTTATTTTAAGTAAAAAGAAAATCACAAATGCAAATTATTTTGTTTCTCCTAGACAGCAAGCAGATTAAATGAACATCAGACTTGAATAATTATTTTCTCTATTTTCCCTTAAAAATCATCCCAGTAATCTCAAATGTATATACTTTCAGAAAAGATCTCAACTGTCTCAAATGTGCTCAAATCTAAACAAAAGTCAGATATTTCTATGGCTATCCACTTTCTTTGCAGAGCTCCACAGTCACATTTGTTTCCATTTTATTTCTTAAGAAATGTAACATTTCTACTAAGGAATTTTACAAAAAAAATCTTTTTGAATTTAAATATTTAACTATTTTGGTAAGACTCACTTTTCTAAGTTTTGCTGAGTGTTTGAGGTCTTGAATCCTCTTCATTCTGTCCAGGATCATCTGCTTCACGTCTGTCTGCATCTTCATTAGCTGAGGCTACAGACAGAACAGAAAAACACAGACACGCAACAGATTTAACACCATCCAATACAAATGTCTTGTAAAAAAAAAAACATTTGTTGCTGCTGTTACCTTCCTCTCTTCGCTCTCCTCCTCTACAGAAACATTGTTGTGAGTCTTATGGTCTGTCACAGCACAGAGCAAACACACACATCTCTGATCATCTCTACAGAACAGCTCCAGAGGTTTCTCATGTTTCTGACAGATATAGACCTCAAGATTCTCCACAGGATCGATCAGTTTGTGTTTCTTTAGCTTTGGGACTCTGTGATGAGGCTCCAGGTGTGTTTGACAGTAAGAGCTCTGACACACCAGGCACATCTTCAGAGCTTTCATCTTTATATCATCACAGATGTCACAGAGAACCTCAGATTTACTCTGGCCAGACTTTTCTTTAAAGAGCAGCACAACCTCTCTGAGAGCTGTGTTGATCTTGAGGTCAGGTTTTGTAGTGAATGTTTCTTTACATAATGGACAGTTGTAGGTCTGACTTGTGTCCCAGCACTGTTTAAGGCAGCTCTTGCAGAAGTTGTGTCCACATGGAGTGCTGACTGGATCAGTGAACACATCCAGACAGATCGAGCACTGGAGCTCGGATGACAGAGAACCTTCATTTAGAATTGAATTACAAATAAAAATGATAACGGCAAAAACTCAACAATTAGGCTAGCAATTAGTAGGCTATTATACGTTTTTTTTTTTTTTTTTTCATTTAGTTACTGACTTGTTAGAGGTTCATCCATACTCCTGGTCTCGCTTTGTTTTATTGATGATTCTGCCATTGCTCTATTCTCCTCTTCAATCATCCTTTATAGGACAAAATCACCACACATTACACAAAATCAGCAAAGTTATATCCTACACAACATTTGTAATATAAAGTTTAACTTACCTTTTTAATTTACTAAACATTTTCAACAACAGATTTCACTTCCCCAGACAGCAAACTGACATTGAATCAACGTGGAAACGACGTCTCTCATGACATTGAAACAACGTTGATTTTGCTCATCGAATTAACGTTGAACCAACGTCAGACGCGGCATTCTTCAAAGCTAAATGAAATCGAAAATTGGTTTGCTTTCATAACGTTGAAACAACGCGTTGATTTTCCGTTAGTTTTGAAAGAATGACGCGTCTGACGTTGGTTCAACGTTAATTCGATGAGCAAAACAATGTCAGATCAACGTTGTTTCGATGTCATATTTCCACGTTGATTCAATGTCAGTTTGCTATCTGGGTCTGTTCTTAGTCTGTATTTCAAAGGCTACTTACTGGTTCTTAAGTCTCGACAAAAATACACTAAATTTTTCTTTAAAATAATCAAATGACATAGACCAAGTCAATCACACTCAATCAGAAATTGTTACAGTTATGAATTAAATTCAATAAAGCAAACTTATCAGAATTTAGCTCGTTGTGATCTTGATCAGGCCTACTGCATCCTGGTTTTGCCTCATATCCAGTTAGCTAGGCCAACTGAAGCAGGCCGCAAACATTAAAAACCCATTCAGTAAAATCCTATTACAATAGAGTGAGTATCAGCTGTGGTCTTAGCTTTATATCTGAATAAATTGTCTTTTGTAATTCCGTTTTCAGACTTTCGTTGATCAGTTTAGTTTCCCTTCCCGCAGACTCGCACCTTCGATGACGTCGTAGTCCCTCCCATGATCTTTTCTCAACTTAATTTAGTTACAGCCGGTAGTGTCAGATTGCAGACAACTTCATATTAAAGACATAACGTTAAGTACTCATATTCAATAAAAGCGTCTTTGGTTAGCATAACTTTTTAGCCTACCTTTTTTTTTTTATACCGCGCTTTTTAGAAGCATTAACCTGTGTAGCATGTTTTGAGTCCGCTTTACTGAACCGAAAGATGGCTAGAATCAACATATGACTCATTAGGCCGCTACGGTTGCTTAAATTAAATGTTAATTAAACAATATAACATTCATATGCAGCCTGTCTTGCTAGTAAAAGTTTCCCAAACTGAAATAACTCAATAAAAGTACTCAATAACTCAATGGTCAAAAAAAAGACAAGCAAACAGCCTAAAATGAATCTTCAGAGAAATAACGGCTGAGACCAATTTCCCGCCCCTGATTTACTGTTGCTATGAGCAAGACGATGATGCTCTGTGGACCTTAAGGCCTATGGCTGGAGTTCAGGCCAGGGTTCCCTGGAAAGGCAGATGTTTTGGAGTCTGTAGGAGCAGGCAGGGTTGTAGACCCCTGCCGCTGTATGGCATACAGACAGTAACAAAGACTTGCTTAGAGCAATGATTCCTAATCATCCTGCAGTACCCCAGCACTACACAGTTTATATCTCATTCAATTCAACAGCTTGTTGGTAAAGACTGCAGTCTTCAATGACTGAAGCATTTTTATCCACTGTAGATGGAGCCAGTCATCAATTTCCTCCTGTACGAACAGTGGCTTTTGCTGCTGTCAGAATGAGATCTCAATTACATTACAGTTTTGGATGTCAAAAACGATAGTCGGTGATTAGATTCCCATACAGAATGTCAAAAACCATTTAAAGTAGCTACAGTTTGTCCACCCTTTTCCTACAGCCCATGACCCCAAAACCTTGATTCTTTCCTCAGCAATATACAGTATATCACTGTAGTAATGTCTATACACTGCCTTAATCAAAAATAATTATTAACAAGCATTGAGTGATAATATTTAAAAGTGGTTCCCATCATTTTGACAGATTTAGAACCAGTCTGAAAAGGGAGACAATAGCATTTTAAACCAGTGTGAAAACAAACCTAGAGACGTGATGATTTGGTCACGTTAGCGCATTCAAGTAAATTTTAAATGGTAGGCTATATATCGGAATATATGTTGTCTATTTTTTTCTTTTCATATTGTTACAGTGGATTGCAAAGAAAAGGTGACTCTCATAATTAAAAGTCCAGTAAGCTCATCAGGGGAAAAGTGGATACATCAATAGTAGGACAAATGTGTTTAGGATACATTTATATAAAAAATAAAATAAAAAAAGATGTCTGGCCAAATGATAACAGTCCTACTTAACTAGTCCTGAATTGTTGCTATATCTAGCATCTGCTGTTTTTACCTACTGCTTTTGATTGTTTATTCCTATGAGACTGTAAACTATAGTAAATCCTGTGTCATAGCGTAGATTCAGAATAGACACACAAGATGAGCTTCCCTAACCTGTATGAACTCAGGCTATTACTATTTAGTGACACCTAGTGGGATAATCTTCAACATGTCGACAGATTCTGTCATTATTATTGCTCAAGCAAATCATTTTACATAACTTCCAAAAACCTCAACAATGCCAACCATACAGTTAATTATGACATAATACACAAACATCTTACACAAGCAACACAACTAGCAATTATATCAATGAGTGAAATATTTATTTAAAAACTGAAAAGTAAAACAAACCCACACACAGTTTTAGTATATATCATACAAAGATATTCACCAAAATGTTATTGAGCGGTCTTGTTTTTCTTATTAACAAAAGTGAGAGGCAGTTTAGAGGCTGGCTGAGCTGGTAATACTACACAACCGAATCTAAATGGTGGAATAAACCATTACTGGAGGTGATGATGACACTCCAAAAAAAAAAAAAAAAAAACGGAAATTAAATACCCAGTGTCGCAACTTAACAAAACAGCCGAAGCAGTGCAACAAGTGAAACAATATGAGGGTATTAAGACATAACAACATGAGGGATATACAGAATATATCATATCTCAGTCACACAGCATCCACCCAAACACACACACACATTATATTAGTATTAAAGAACACACACACACACACACATATACACTCTCAACGCATGTTCATACAGAGTCTAGAGGACCCTAATGCAATCATGTTCTCTTTTGTAGTTACTGACTGGTAGTTTGTGGAGAAGTTGAGGTAACCATGGTTTGTAGATGACTACAAGACTGCATGTCCCTGTGTCGAGCCCTGGTCAGAGCTGTGCTGCTGGCAGACAGTGGTGGTCTCCAAGGCTGTGTGGTCTACATTGCTTTGACGAGGTGGATAGGCCTCTAGAACCAAATACATTTTACTTCACATTTTTCACGCATTTCCATTTTGCTCTTATGAAAGACCTTTAGTCTTTAAGAAAACCCTTTCAAAGCCCTGAAAGTGACACGGTGATAGAAAAAATCCCTCAAAAATCTTTGTGTTTGCTCATTAAACCCTTCCTTTCGCGTTCGCTCACAAATCTTTTGTGTATCTAGAGAAACTTTGCAAGCGCTTGTAAAACTTTTGAGATGGAAATAACATTTCAAGTGAGTGAATGCAAAGTTTCTCAGGGGAATACGATATTTGTGCAAGATAACGCTACAAATTTGCAAACAAATACAAAGTTTCCTGTGGGAACGCAACTCAACCCCTTCCCCCCCCCATCACCATGTTCTCTAAGGGCTCCGAATCATTTCTTCTTTCTTTTAGATATCCTCCAAGTTGAAAATGGGGAGCTCAAAAAACCAAACGAAGCACACCAAAGTTGAACACAGGGATTGGTACATCTGTTCTCACACGGTTCTCTACTGATTTCATACTGATCTCAGTTCGCAATACCAAACTACAACTTTAAAACACTGTCCTAATGCTACTCTAGATCACGATTTTAAAGGTCTTTTTTCAGGGAATGTGATCCTTGACCCTTTTTTCCCTTTTGGAAGGCACGGATGTCTCTCCTCGCCTCGGTGTGAAGGGGTGCGCGTATGTGTAGCTAGAAGAAGACAACAGGAATTAACAGATACTGTCATATTAACAGCGTGTAAACCGTACAGGACCGTTTTATGGACCTTTACTAATACAATATGGTGCATAACCTATCTGTGCTCAGCAAACCTAAATAGAGCTAATAAAACAAAACGATGTGCTCTAGCCCGACGGGAGGTCTCACAAAAACAGTCAGTTCATAGTCAGTCATGGACTTGAAATTGGAGAAAAACATCAGGACACAGTTCTGGCGAAATATAATAGCGGTTTGTTCCTAAAAGTCAACATGGTGAAACAGTAAAAAGCCTGTGGATTAAATCTATATAGGGCTTCTTATGAAATCATGCCATGGGAACATAATCAAAAGAAATCTGAAGAAAAAAAACAACAGGGTTTGCTAGTGTTTTCAGGTGTTAGTCCACAGTGGTCATTATCTACTATGTTCAATGCTCTTGTTTTAGTTCAGAGACCACTGCTAAGAGGACTAGGGAAGGGGCGGACCCAGATGAGGGCGATCCTACACGACAGTAAGGAATGTGTTTGAGAGGTGGAAGTCACACAGCTGCTGTTTGTAAAAGTTGAGTCCGGAAGGGTCACAGCACAGTGCCATTTCCTGCAAAATGGGGTGACTCACCATTGTGCAATGCATCATGGGATGTTTCATAGGGAGACGGGATTGTTCTAAATGGTCAGGGGTCGGGGAAGATTCTCCATTCCGTATGAGGAAAAGGAAATGAAATACTCAGACAGTTCAGCGAGCCTGCACTTCCCTCTCTGTCCACTAGGTGGTGCCATCCATTTCCAGCCTTCCTCTCCCTCCCCCCTTTGTCGCACACTATCATCACACTCCTCACGTCTCCTGACTCCACGGGCAGGGGAGGGAGCAGGTTAGAAAAAAAGCACCTTTTATTTGGCTTAAATGTACAATAAAAGAAATCAGAAGAGTTAAAAAGTACAATAAAAAGGGAGAAGGGAAAGATAGTGTGTATATAAAGACGTCAAGCGGCCGCTGTGCAGAACACGACAAGTCTCATCCCGTTCCTGCGGACAAACACAAAAGAAAGAGCGAATTACGCACAAGCAAACAAACCACACCCTTTGCACCACCAATTAGCTTAATACTCCATATACCCCACAGGCTAGGCAATTCTAGGATGTTTCAGCAGTTTTGGCTCAGATGGTATTACGTTTGTGGGGGTCTTACCCTCGTCCTCCCCTCCCCAGCCCTCTGCGACGCCAGCGAGCTTGTAATGCTTCTTCCTCAGTTCTCCAAGTCGCTCCCTCTCTTTCTGCAGCCGGGTCTCCAGCTCCAACACCAGAACCTGAGATACAATAAACGGTCAGATTTGTTCACATACTTCCACAAAAACATGGACAACAGGTTAACACTCGCTCACCTGTGCATCCATCTCTTGCCTCTTGATCTGAGTGAGTGTCATTGCGGAAAAGTCCATAGTTTCTGAAACAAAGAGAGAATTCAGAGTGAAATACCAACACATTCTCATCCTAGGGTGTCATATAGTGACACTTTTGAAATTTTGTCTAAATCCAACACACATGGCACCCTTTAGCGTCAATATAACACGCACAGAGCATTGTTCGGTTATGGTAGGTTTAGTTCTGGGGTAGGTTTAGGGTTACACCACTAGGAGGCGCCTTCTGGCATATACATCTCTGCGTCTCATAATGACGCTAAAGGGTGCCATAAGCGTTGGATGTAGACGAAACGTCAAAAGCGTCAGTATATGACGCCTTGGGATGAGAACGGGCTGGAAATACCTATCAAATTTTATGATTTTCAATTCATGTCTGAGGATTTTTCTTGTTCGCTTGCATTTTTGGCCAATAAACTTTAGAATAAGAAAATTAATGTCTCTCACTTTTAAGAAAATCCTGATTTTACCAGGCTGTCATGTGAATTAAAGGGTATTGGCTATCAATATAGAATAGTATTGCAATATTTTACATGGGGATGTTGTATCGATACACGGATGCCAATTATTATTTTTTCAGGGCTTGAATTACGGTTTAAGATTGAGAGCATTGTGCATATTTTTTCCATAAACTCTGTACTTATAATGCAGGAATTAAAAGTAATAATTTGAAATCTTTCTTTCAGACTATACAGTAATTTCACAAACAGTGCGACAAAATCAGCACTACTGCTTCTCTCTCCATCCCATGTTTATATAACTATGGAGGAGCATCTAGTTATGTTTACAGCAAACAATGAGTACGTAAATAAATAGAAGTCCAGTGCATTTCAGTGTACTACAGTTGAATATTGGGCATTTTATGTAATAGGCCATCCACGTAGTCATGAGCTTACAAAAGCTTGTACTGAATGAAAGGACACACGATGTCATTGACTTCATGTGACTGGTCAATGTTGTTTAAATGCCTTTGCCTCCACAGAAGAGCATCAGCACACAAGCTTGCATGGAGAAAACTCTGACTGTGTGTTGGCTTGCTCATTCCTGTATCTCTGGAGGGCACCATAAACCAGTTTCCACGGCTATAGTTAAATGTGAAATGGGGCAATGTAACTGGAGGACAATGAAAAGCAAAATGAGGCTGCTACCACGGTAATTACTAACTTTTGGCCCTTATTTAATGAATGATGGAGAAAGAACATTATGGGAGAAATGTTGCAAGCAAGAATTAAACCTGAATTCCCCACATGAGCATCACAGCTTAACGTGTCTGAAAATGTTGAGCCACTTAAACACATGCCTAGCAAGACCTCACCTGTATCCTCGATCTGAGACTTGCCAGACTTTGTTGATGCCACGACCCCTGCAGTGGCCTGGGTGACCCCTTTGGAGGCCTGCTGGAGGCGGGAAAGGTTTGTACTGCCCTTGTCTGCTTTTACCTTTAAAAGATAAAACCGATTAAGTATCTTACATTGCTTTAAAGTTAATTCAAGTGCAAATGTTGTTGGCGCTGTACCTTAGATGCCGCAACTAGCTGAGCCGTGCTGGCAGCGATCTCATGCGAACACACCATCAGCTCCTCAAACTTGCCCTTGCCTTGCACCACCTGATCAGCTGCATCACTGCAGGAAGAAGAAGAAAAAAAGCACAATGGTGATGGTTGATATATCAGTTCATGTAGGATTTAAAACTTTGGGTCTGAAAACATGGACAGAATCACGAAATTCAGTCATTTAAATGGAATTTGCTGTAGTGTCTGCTATTATTAAACCACGATAAGAAACATGAAGTGTCCCTGTGAATCTCAGAGTGAATGAGTTTTGTCTACTACTGCACATACTCAAGCACATAGGTTCTCAAAGTGCGGCCCGCGGGCCAATGGCGGCCCGCCGAAACATTTTTGGTGGCCCGCGATAACATAATGATCACATCTGTAAAACTGTACATTGCTTTGAAAAAATGAATATCTCTGTTTAGTGGTGTTTAGCGGCATCTATAGGCATATGCGGTAATTATATGGTCCGACCGAACACACTTGACCTCACTCCCAAGGCCATCAACAGAACAGTGGTTGTCTACACAGGAATAGGGATCGTGGCCAACCGAAACCAGCACCACAAATCCCATTGCAATTTAAAAGGGTATGTTGACCAAGTAATCAATATTCAGTGTGACTTAAACGTCAAGCTTATTAATTTTCGTGCCCAACTCCTATAAAGGCTGATAGAGGCAACCGTGATGGACAGTCAAGGTGTCATTCTTTCAATTACATTATGGTTGGCTCATAAATATACAAATGAAGACTCCATCTAAAAGATATTTTGAAGTAAATACCTACACATCGCCCCTTTAAAATGATAATATAAAAAGTATATTTTTATTTTTATGATAATATAAAAAGTAAAAAGCAGAATTTGTGAAATTCATAGGGCCCAATTATTTTTTAAATTTTAATAATTTATTCAAATTTCAAATTAAAATGGAAAACACGTAATCTTGGAAAAAATTCAAAATAATTTTGGAAAAAAATAAAGCGGATTTCATTGAGCCACTGAGATTTTTAATCACTATGCTACAGCTTCCCACCCAAATTTGATTTTCTCACTGTCTGTGTAACTCACACCAACATGGTGGCGCCCCAGCCCACAGCCTTGGAGGCAGAAATGAGACCTTCCGTCCATCGGGAATTCTTGGCGTAGAACTCCTTCATAGATGCGGCCCCCTATGAACACAGCAGAAACATCAATAAAATGTAATTTCACGCTCTACAAAAGCAAGTTTTCAACAAAATAAACATTCACTCACCCTGCCGCTCTCCACAATATCCCTCTGCAGGTCTTTGGAGGACAGCACAAGCACTTTGATGGCCTGCATTAAATCTGTGCAGGACGCCAAGATCCTGCAGGGGGCGACAGAGAGCAACAATTAAATACTTCAAAGGCCTCCTTTGCATGCATGGGTTGGTTGGCTAATGTGTCTGGGTGAATGCAAACGTGAAACGCTATCCAAGGGAAATGATCTCTGCATAAAGACATTTTCATCACTTAACCAAATCCACTAAGGAATATCAAAGGCATTGTTTTTGGTAACAGTAATCATAAAACATTATATGCATTGCATTTCATAACACGACTTGGTCGGTCTGACCTTTCATTGACTTCCATTTTGATTCCTGTGTCAACTGCCCTTGACTTATTGAGCATTTCCTGTTGCAAAGAGCAAAAGGGGAAGAACATTAGGCAAGTAGACTGGAGAGCTTCATGTTTTATTAAGCATCTGTCTGTATGGTAGAAAAAGCATAGACTGATCACCTCAATCCTGGCAGCAGCCGACTCCACAGCTGCTGATGTGGCTGACATCTCCTGCTCCACCAGATCTCCCAGCTCCCCTTGCTGCAGTTCCAGACCACGAGGACGCAACTTCTGCTCAGAGAAAACAGAGAAATTAACTAAGAGGTTGTGTTCTCATCTCATTTACATCGTAGAACAAAACGCCAAAGTATCATCTTGTTATGTTTACCAAAGACTTTATTTTACTCATAAATTGAAAAAAAAAAAAAAATTATATATATATATATATATATATATATATATATATATATATATATATATATATGAAGAGTTCAGATGCAAAAGCCTCTAAATGCCATTTGAAATTTTCTTCTTTAATGATGATTTTTATCAAACTTGTATATTTAAGTTCAGTGATTTCACTTAAATGGCAATGATAATTACCTATTAATTGTTATTTAAGTGAAATTACTGAACTTAAATATACAAGTTTGATAAAAATCATCATTAAAGAAGAAAATTTCAAATGGCATTTAGAAGCTTTTGCATCTGAACTCTTCATATATATATATATATATATATATATATATATATATATATATATATAAACCCCCATAGAAAAATCTCAAGGGAACCAGGGGGCGGAGCTTTGACGTTATACCTGCACCACTCTATTGTCCAAGTTCTCGACCTTCTATTTCCAATGTGAAAAATAAAATCTTACTAGCAATGAATTTAAAACTGACAGTTATTATATTTTAAGTAATGTTTCACTTGGATATATACGTCACAATATTGAATAAAAGACGATCGTAAGTTCTCGTTTAATTGGATGGCCATTTGCCGATTAAGATGCAATGTAGCATACTACTCTTCTCTTACAGATGTTTATTTTCTACCGCAGTGATTCTACTGTTAAGAAACTACAACTATGAAAATTTGTTGAAAATAAAATAAAGTTGAAATAAAATAAATATCAGATGAAAGACTTAAAGTTAAAAAACTTGCAATTGAAGTACTACTAAAGTTAATAATTACTAAAAAATACAGCCAAATAGAAATGACAAAAACCACAAAATTACTAAAAAATATAAATATAAAATACAAAAAAAAAAAAATACAAAAAATAAAAGCTATTCAATAATGTTAATAAATACTGTAAAAATCGATAAATAATTTAAATGTATTTAAATTGTTAGAAAAGTGTAAAAAAATATTCTCTCCTCTAGTTACATGCTGCTTATTTTGTGATTTTATCTGTGATGGGTGCTATATAAATAAATTTTACTTACTTACTTACTTAACCCACTGATTTACTATTCTAAAACCAGGACTGACTCTCAGTGGCACACTCACTTCACCCAACGCCATTACGGTATCCAGTGCCGACGTCAGCCGGCTGCAGTCTGCCGTCCCCATAGACTTCTGCTCCTTAAGCTGGCAAAGCAGCGCCATTGCCTCCGCGCCACACGCCTTCACGTTGTCTGCCAAAGCTGCCCACAGACAAAGACAGAAACCAGATAGCAGTCAGACGAGCCATCTGTCACCTGCAGACACTCCACATACGCTCGGGAAGAAACACATTTCCTGCCGCGTACAGTCGTGACGTGATTGCTTGTGCTCGTGGGAACCGCACATTAGCCGTTTTGAGTCATGTCATGTTCCTTTCAAGCATCTCTCCCAAAACAACCAGACCTCCGGCGACGGAGATATTAACAGAACCGCAAGACACTAATGACCTTCATGATGAATGGAGACTGACTCAAACAGAAAGTCATTTTCTTGGACGTCTCTATATGTAGAATGTGGATAAATCGGTACTGTAAAATATTTATCAATTTAATAATAGAAATTACATTTATGAATCAAATAGTTGTTGTTTTTTCGGTGTAACCAGGAATAACAAATTATGTTATTAATGGTACCATTGTCTTGACATTTGTATAGATGTATAGATGTTGTCGTTGTTGTTTTTATTATTATTTTCATATTTTTATTTTTTATTTTTATAACTTTTTTTTCTGTGCTTGTTTTAATGTAAATATTTCTAAAATCAATAAATACATTGTTGGAAAAAAAAAAAGAAATTACATTTATGCTGCTTAGGTCGAACTGATAGCTATGGTTCTGGATGCTGATTGGTCGATACAGAGCATTAAAGCACAATGACTGTTTCTTCAAGGAAGTATTTGCATAGAAATTCATCAGTTGTGCTAATGTGATTACATAAGCTCATTTGAATACATTTTCATGCCACATTTTCAATGCTTACCATCAGCTTGTTCCACTGGCACCATGTGGGAGGTGGCGCTTCCCTGCACGATGACATCGCCCACCAGGTGAGCAAACTGAGTCACTGCCCGGACCAGTCCAGACACATCTATTACACACATTCAGGAAAATCATTGTGAAATAGTTACAACATGATTTATGAGTGCCTCTCATCTCAACAGACTAAAAAAAGGGATGACACGGTGTCTGAATGCATTCTTGGTGCACTTAAATCAGTTTCGGATTTCTATTGATATATCATTACGTTATTATTTTTTGAGCTTGAGCATGCTGAGTGGAGAACAGTGAAGGGGAGTAACAACATTTTTTTTGTAGTAGTAGTAGTAGTGTGAAATCAGCTCAACTGTCCTGAGACATTTTTTCTCCAACAGTCAGGAGTGTAGCAACACAAATCGCTACATCACGGTTCTGTCACAATGTATCGCACTGCCTTACTAGCAAGTGAGCAAGACAGAATCCTCTCCTGTCTCAAGTACTGCTGGGAAGTTATTCAGGTCAAAGTTGATTCAGGCAGTTTGTTTTTAGTAATTCGATTTGTTTAGATAGTTCATTGTAAAGAAAATCAACTCAAATCCAATTGTAATTGACAGCATACAAACAAAAATAAAAATAATAAAAATTTTCTTTAACACAAAATTGTATTTTAATACAAAAACAAGTTAAAAGACGATTAGAACAAATAAACAAATTTCAACCAACAGCACAAATAAAGAGATATAAAAAACAGGGCTTTAAGTAATTCAGTATAGGGTATATTCAGGTAAGATATACTAAAGTAATCAAATGTACCTTTTAGCTAACTACTATTTCAGTAAAGACTAACTTTACTGTAATTTAAGTACTTTAAATGATGTGTAACTTATATCTTGGCAAGCTACAATTTCAAAGCAACTTTGCCCAACACTGTTGGAGTGAACGGTACATTAATGAATGCTAGTTGAGAAGGAAAATGAGAGTGTATGTACAAGTAATTCACCTGTGTTATCTGATACAAAACCGTCTCTGGCCGACTGGAGCCGCTCCACGCATTCCAGAGCCACCTGGCACCTGGACACCAGGTAATCTACACACACAAGAAGGTCCTTTAATATTTATTACGCTCTCGTAGGGCAATCAGTGTGGGTTGTCCGGACATGAGGGAAATTTGAGCAGGTCACTGACCGGCCGAACTGGTGCAGCTGATGTGTGCGGGGTCCTCCAGCTGATTCAGGCTGTCCTGTACAATCCTCCCCCCCTCCTCTAAAGCTGCCCGCAGAGCCGCCCAGCGCAGGGACACCAACTCGCTCTCCAGAGCCTGCTCACGACTCTCCTACAGACAGAAAGACAATCAAAGCAGGCATTTAACACTCCTTTACATCAATTAGTCCTTTTCTGTTAGCTTTGAAACCAACAGTCTAAAATAGGGTTTTTCAAACTCAGTCCTGCAGAGTTTAGCTCCAACCCTGATCAAACACACCTGAGCAAGCTAATCAAGGTCTTCAGGATCACTAGAAAGTCACAGGTAATGCCGAGTTCAGACTGCATGATTTTAGCCACGATTTTGGCTCGCCGACAGGTTGAGAAATCGCCGACAAATGCCCGAAATCACAGGCAAATCGGCGCTCGTTCACGCGTGTGACAATCACGCAGTGTAAATGAGCAAAGACGCGAACTGAGAGAATCACCGACGAGTCGCCGACGCCCGTGAGATATTTGGCATGCTAAATATCTGGACCTGTCGGCGATTCAAAATCCTGCTGTGTGAAAAGTGTTTTGACTGAAAACTACATCGGCGATCACTGGCAGCCAGTGAGAAAGCAAGATACAGAGCAGCAGGGAGTTCGGGGAGGAGTTATAGATCACATATCAACATGATATGGCATTGTTTCAGAAAAAAAGCTTCTTCTCGGTCTATTTGGACACAATAAATGGAAGAAAAATTGGTAGAAATTTGGCAGGAGCACTCGTGTCTCTTTGACGTTTCACCAGCTGTACCACAACCGGGTCGAAAAAAAAAGTCTCAGGTGAGAACTCCGGTCTTGCACGTGTGGTGTCGCGTTGTTTCCTTTTCACATTTCACATGTGTTTGTTGTGAAACGTAGTTTGCGCGCAGCCTGCTAAACAGAGACTGTCGGCAATTTTTCCTATTGTAAAGTCATGCAGTGTGAAACCTTCTGTCACCGATCAATCGTCCAGTGTGAACACAGCAGTGACTGAATTCTGGCCAAGATAGTCATGCAGTGTGAAAAGAACAGCGACCCGACTACTTTGAAAATCATGCAGTCTGAACTCGGCATAAGTGTGTTTGATCAGGGTTGGAGCTAAACTCTGCATGACAGCGGCCCTCCAGGACCGAGATTGAGAAACCCTGGTCTAAATGCTAGTGAGCTCATAAAAGCAAACTGAACATTTAGCAGATTTACAGCCTATGTCTTTTGGTATAATGAATCTGAACAATTACACAGACCCAATTATAATTGAACAAATAATATCAATAGTAAAACTACAATATCCCACCTTCTCATTGAGTTGGTTTTGTAGGGCCTCAGCAGCTTTCACGCCACTCTCTCTCTCAGTGGTCAGACTGCTCTGTACACGCTCTAACTCCACCCCCAAACCGGCCAACTCCGCCTCTTTCTGAGATACGGTCTCCAAAAGCCCCGCCTTCTCCGCCTCTAAAGCAGACAGCTGAGTATTGAGCTGCTCACTTGACTACAGGAAGAGAGAGAAAACAGTTCAATGAGAGCCAGTTATTATGTGAATTACAAGATCTAATGTGACTCAAGAAACAGTATTGTTGAAGCAGAAGTTAGAGCTAATACATTTTGGCGTACAAACATACGTCATCCCTGCAGCACTCTATAAAGCACTGTATTTAAAGCTACACTGTGTGATTTTTAGCCCCATCTAGCGGTGAAAAGGTACATGACCATCCAGTGAATATTAGTTTCGGTTCCTCTCAATTCCGATTTAGTTTTAACTCCTACGGTGGCCAATGTAGTCCAAGATTAACATGGCTTCCAGTTCGACCTCGTCCATGAGTGTTAACTCAAACGTAAACACGAAAGGCAAAGCTTGAATTAACGGTTATGTCCCTCTTTGGCTAATGTACTTTCAAGATGGAGGGGCAACATGGCGACCGACATTAGAACCCCTTACCCGTATGTATTTTCAATGGCATATTATACACTCACAAGAATACTTTATTACTTGAACGAAGTAAATGAGCACATATATTTTTGAAAGAACTAAGTGTTTTTAGCTAAGAATAAACTAAAAGAGTTACACAGTGTAGCTTTAAAGTGAACTAATAAAGTCATGATGAAGCTGTTAAATGTATCAACACAGTTGTCTTTATCTGAATCAGCTGCTGGGGGCAGTAGTGGAGGTGCTGCAGCAGGCGTGCAGGAGACAGAGGGAAGTGGGATAGAGGGATAAAGGGATGGAGGGAGAGGGGGCAGGGTGACATCAACTACCACATGCAGTCTGGACACATCTACTCAGGTCATTTAGAAACTACATGCAATCACAGAATCCCCATGTTAACCTGCACTGGACTAATCGCAGAGACAGTGATACATGGATCCTGTGGTGGGCCGAGAGTTGAGGGCTGCACAATATATCGAAAAAAATCTATATGGCTTAATGTGAATGTCACATAAGTGCAGCCTAAATCTCATAACGGCTCGGTTAATTTACTGTGAATCAAACCAATCTGAGAAACCAAAAAACACTGAACCACGAGATGCCCGCATGCAAAGGGCTGAGTTTCTGAAACCAAAATAAAAGCTTGATGGTTTAAAGTTAACTTTAAGAAAAAAAGAAAGAAATTCATATGTAAATATTAGTACTGTAATTTAACAGTGTACTATAAATTAAAACAGTTTTTATTAAATACTTGATTTCTTATTTTAAAGTACAACAGTTAGATATAATACTTATTTTGTTTAATATATTTCTAATAATTACAATAGAAGTTTCTATTATTATACATTTTTACTGACTTGGTCAAAAACAGTGGGATTGTGGCCTATGCAACTTAAGTCGAGGGATCAGTTCAATTTGCTTGCTGAAAGCGTTTTGTGTTAGTTCCAATAGTAAAATCAACCTGTGAACATCCAAATTTCAAGAAAAAATATTCCCAAATGTTTTGTCCTAAAAGATATTTTGCACTCTTCAGGAGAAATTTTCAGCTTTTTAAATGATTTTATTCACAAAATCAACCCACTCATTCTAGAATGAATCATTCCCCCCCCAAATATAACTATTCAAGCCATCTGGTAAATGTTCCTCCATTTCTTCATATCACAACATATATTGCAGAAAAAGTAGTCAGCATGTCAGTTTTTTTCCAATATCGTGCAGCTAAAATCATTTCATTATTTTTCTTTAATTTCTGACAAGGAGTGAAGAGAGATTCATGACAGAGGAAAAGAGGAAGAGAATGATGGGTGGATGTGGGAGGTCCCACCTGTTGGGAGGAGGTGACGGCACTCTTCAGGGTCTCTAGTTCTGTCCTGCTGGACATGAGCTCGGCTTGTAGAGCTTGAAGCTGCTCTAACTGAGCCTTCTCCTACTCGTGCACATACATGAGGATAGGGACGTGTAAGACAAACATACTACGGATACATCAGGCAGAGGGAGTGTGTGTATGAAGTGTGTGTGTACATGTGGTTTGTGTGCAACCTGCTGACTGGTAGAGTCCTGAACGGCTTTCAATTTGTCCTGCATCTCTTTCTTCACATTCTCCACCTCGTCCTGGGCGGCACGGGCCACCGTCATCTGACGGGTCACCTCTGCGTTCTGAGAAACACATAGACAGTTTTTCCACAGTCAAAACACTGGTCCCTTGCCAAGAATGTGGCTCCCACTGTCGGATGGCTCTGTGGTGGGATCAGTGCTGCTGTATGAAAGTGAGCGTGATGACAGCCTAAGCGTGGCAGAGGAACACAGTGCCAAGTTCTCATCTGTGTTTCATCTGAGTCTGCTAGAAAATAATTCTGATGCAGGAGCTAAACCACCTGCAGGTTTACTGACAGTCCTCTGGAGCTGAAGCAAGCAGTATGCAGTGTGCACACTATGTGAATAACGTAACATTTCTATCTGCATGGGAAACACAGATTACTGACTGAATTTGCCAAAACAAGTGAGATATTGTGTCCCACAACGCAATGGAAATAAATATCAGCTACAATATTTAACATTATTAGATTTATGCATGCAATTAAAATAGTGTTAAAATAATTTAATGCAAATAAATAACTGAAGCATGTGAAATTGCATCAGTCGTTTAATTTACGTCACGCAGTTAGATGATCTTAGAAGTCGGGAGTTTATCAAGCACCTGTAACACCGGTAACTATTTTAACCCTTTACCCCGATTTTTCTTCTTTAGCACCTTTTAGCAGGAGCTATGGTAAGCATACAATACATTTATGAATTATATAGACTCCTTATATCATTTGGTTATTTGGTGTCCTTTTGGAGTCTCCAAGTGTAATTTTTTTGGAAAGACACCTACATTTACCTTGAAAAGGCTTGCAGAAAATCCTTTTGTGAGAATCACCCTTCAATCTGAAGGTCTACTTTGCTGGATATAGCAATTGATGACAAAATTAGTGTGTTAAATAAGAGTTGATGTCTACTATGATAAACAGACATTTGGCTTTTGTGTAACGTAGGCCAGTAACGTAGTGAATACGGTGTCTAGCGTCATTGTTAGTGCACTCACCTCACATGCAGGTGGATTGTGGTTCGAGGCCAACTCGGAGCAGGGCGGTTTGGGTTCAAACATGTTGGTTTGGGTTCAAACATGTTTGTTTGGGTTCAAACATCAACACTGTCCAACAGTGTTTTTGAAATACCGCTTACCCCACCTCTAATGTATCTATACACATTAAAAATATCCATATACAGCCAGTGTGAGATTGAATGGAGATGTGAGGACATCAATTTACCTTCCTAAGCAGGTCAGCATGGCTCTGGACCAGCTCTGTGTATTTCTCCTTTAGCTTGGTGTAGCGTTGCTCATTTGCTTGTGCTTTTCCTACAAAAAACACATAAATACAATAATTGATTAAAATATATAGTATACGGTGTTCAGTGGTGCTGAGGGTTCAGTCCATAAAACGTGCTGCCTCTGTATCGTCATTATAAAGGAATAACTGGCTTTCTAAAAAAGCAACCGTTTTGAACCAGTTAGAGTAAATAAACCGAAAAGGAAGGAAAGATGTTTTTTGATTTAGGACAGAAGAACAGAGCAATGGGATGTGTCGAACCCCTAAATTCAAAAAACGTCATTCCAAAAACTTTAAAGACTAACAGGGTCATTTAATAAGAACGTCTAATTTCAAATACAATATTTGAAATAAAGAAAATTCAATGTAACTTTTTCCAACAAATATATTGTAATGCTTACTCTCGATTTCGCTCAGGCTGCGCTGCTCTTTCTCTGTGTCCTCTTTGACCCGGCGCAGGTCGTCAAGCTCCACCCTCAGGAACTCGCTCTCACCCAGCGCTTGCTGCTTCAGGTGAGTCTGCTCTGCAAGCTCCGCCTCCAGCTCATTCACACGCCCTCGTAGTGCTTGACAAAGACGGCCACTCTGAGAAAGACCAAAATAATCATTGACATATCTCTTTCACTTTTCCACCTCTTCAAAAGTTTATGAAAGGCTGCATTAATTTGATGAAATACAGTAAAAACAGTAATGTTGTGATTTAAAGGGATAGTTCACTTTAAAATGAAAAATTAGCCCATGATTTACTCACCCTCAAGTCATCCTAGGTATATCTGATCGTTTCAGACGAAAATAATCGAAGTTATATTAAAATGTCCTGACTCTTCCAAGCTTTATAATGGCAGTGAATTGTTGTTTCTATTTTGAAGCTCATAAAAGTGCATCCATCCATTATAAAAGTGCTCCACACGGCTCCAGGAGGTTAATAAAGGTCTTCTGAAGTGAAGTGATGTGTTGGTGTAAGAAATATCAGCAGTACGTCGCATTACTCGCATAAGTTGCGCTTAGACTTAAGTGCAATCTGTATATTTGTTTGGTTGGAAGCTAGTTATTTTGCTTTATAAAGTTTTAAATATGGATATTTGTCTTACACAAACGCATCGCTCCTCTTCAGAAGGCCTTTTTTAACCCCCCGGATCCGTGTGGAGTTCGTTTATGATGGACAGATGTGCTTTTATGGACTTCAAAGCAGAAAAAGCAATTCACTGCCATTATAGACCATTTTGCAAGATGTAAACAACACTGGTCCAGAAGCACTTCCTGTTTCAGTTTTTTAACACTACACAAAAGCTGGGATAAAATACAACCAACAGAACATATAAAACTGAATCAAAAAGTTAAACAAAAATATTTAAGAAGTTTTCTTTACATGTGAAATAAAGAAAACAGTTACAAACTGAAACCAGTGGACCAGTGTTGTTTACATCTTGCAAAATGGTCTGTAAAGCATTTAAGACATTTTCTTATACAACTTTGATTGTATTCGTCTGAAAGAAGAATGTCATATACACTTGGATGACTTGAGGGTCATTAAATCATGGGCTAATTTTCATTTTTGGGTGAACTATTCCTTTAAAAATAACTGTAAACTATTTTTATCCATTTTAAAATGCTTTAGTTTTAAGCACCCATCACTCCAGTCTTCCTTCAGAAATCATTTTAATATACAGATTTCTTTGCCCACGAAATATTTCTTATTATCAATTTTGAAAACAGTTGTGCTGCTTAATTCTTTTATGGAAACTGCATTTTTAAGGTCCTTGATGAATAGAACAGCATTCATTTAAAAGCGAAATTTTAAATGAGCAATTTTTTAGCAATATGTCCTAGCTGAAAAAAAAGTTTTTTGACTGACACCACACTTTAGAATGGTATTGTGTGGGTGTATGTATATTATTACATCCTCTGCATATTACCTCCAATCTGAAGGACTCCAGCTCCTCTTTCAGGGCCTGTAGCTCTGCTGTAAGCTGCTCGATCAAACGGTCTCTGAGGTGAGAGATACAGATTCATCATGATCTTATAAACTCAAAGAGCTCCATATAATTATTAATTATATTCCAATATCTTCAAGACTTACTTCTCATCTTTGCGCATGCCGTTCTGACTGAAGTTGAACGGGTCTGTGGCAGCCGAGGTGCCGAAAAAGTCGTCGAATTTGCTGTCCACAACGCTCTAATGGAGATAAATCTTTAGATGCTCACGTTTAAAAAAAGTATAAATGAGAGCTTTCGATAATGAGATCAGGTGTGGTACCGGTAAAGGGGGGATGTCTGTGTCCACCAGGTCTTCTGTCTCTACTACATGTTCACTTTCAGGGGACGAAGACTCCACTGGAATCACCACCACTGGACTGATGTGCTCAGACAGGGCTGATGCCCGCAGGAAGTTTGGCGGATTCTGTAGAGAAAAGGAGAACTTTTATAATAAAGGAAGCCAGTTCCAGTTTGGATCCAGCCTTTGAAAAAATTATAGATAATGCCAACACTTGCAAAGATTTCAGATGATGACAAAAAGAAAAAAAAAATCCTTGAAGCTAATGGAATCTGTTTTTTAGGTTTTCCTAAAACATTTCCCCCATATGCTAATGGTAGGGAGAATTGGTTGAGCCAATGTCATTATAAAGGGCTGGTCAAAATGCTCAAACAAAAACGCAATGTTTAATGTTAATTTATATGATGAGAAATGTCATGAAAATTTAAGAAAAATGTTGTTTTATAGGACAGCCCGAAAAATCCTGACGCTAGCAAACTAAGCGGGCAGATATGTAAATGAGTTGCATAATTTCTTTCCACTAGCTGTATTTTTGGACTCGGGTCAGGCAGAAATCTCTTTGGTATGCAGGAGTCTCACCTCAGGAAGTTGTGGGATCTGAATCAGTCTCTTGAAATACTGCAGGTTACTGGAGCGATAGAACAGACTCTTCAGCCTGGAGAGAGAAAAGACAAAAGATTAAAATAGTGGCAGTGTCTGTGTGACTCAAATCTGGATCGTGACTGACAGACTCACTTCTTAAACTGCTCCTGGAAGCGATCCCTGTGGCCCTGCAGAGTATCTGCTGGCAGACCTGGAGGACAAGAGAATACCCATCACAACAAGGAAAAGCTAAAGAAAATATCCTACCCCATTAGTAACTAACTTGGTTGAGTTTTCTTTTTTTCATTTCTGTATTTATTACATTTTGTATAATATCCAAAGAAACAACACAAAACAACAATTAAACTATCCCACCGCAAAATATTTCATATTTAAAATAATAATAATAATAAATAACTAAATAAAAATATAATATAATATGTAATAAAATATTAACAATAAATTAACATTAGAGCATGACTTGTATTACAATAGCAGTTATTAGTACAGTATCAGTTAAGATTAAAAAAAAAAAAAAAAAAAGCTTTCCAGGGTGTTTCCTCAGCTATGGGTAGATTGAAAAGGGGGTTTAGCAAAGGGTCAGTTTGGTGATTTCTATTTTATGATCCTCTGTGCATGTGTGTGTGTGTTAAGAGAGAGAGATGTGGTTTATGGACTCACAGGAGTGGAGTTTGAAGAGCAGTTTGACGGTGTAGTCGTACAGATGACTAGAGTCCAGAATGACCTGTATAAGAGGGGCCAGACGACACTGACCCGCTGCAGTCACTGACACGGAACGAGACATATCCAGCGAGCTGAACACTGTGTAGAAACAAACATAAACACAAAATAATAATAGGGGAAATATAAACATTTTCAAAACACCCTAAACTGCCTCAATTCTCAATCGGTAAGTAACGTTTTTTCTTTTTATGAATCCCTCATTCACTCCATTCCCATTTTTTTTTTCAATCTATCCCTTTTATTGCCCACTTCCTCATTCACATTCATGCCCATGCTCCCTCCCCCCGTCTCTCTGGTGATCAGTGATGCAGGCTCCTGTGAGATCCCGTCTTCTCAGCACACAGAGGTGTGGTTTCCTGTGCCAGGGAGCTGTGTTTCAGCCAACAACACTCTCTTATGCCTACAGCACAGACATCTAGATTTTACTGCATTTTCAGCAGCTATATCTATACCAATAAAGATGTCCCTTGTTTTTTTTTACTCTAGAATGCACATTTTGTGTGATCTGAGATTGCTCACTTCACATACAATCTTGACAGAGATTTCAGATTTCAGAGATTGTAATTGCCTGCCTACTACCTAAATTAAAAAAAATAGGCACAGCTTAAATGACCGGCAAGTGAAAGGACTTTGCTGGTGTTTAAACACCTTAAACTTACCGCCGAGGAATAGATTCAGCTCACACTCCAAGTAATCAAACATCTCCACCGTTAACTGGAAGCTACACGTGTTGAGACGAAAGAAACGTGATTGAGTCACATTCCACAAACAGACACAGCAATTTCAGAGCTTTATTTAAAAAAAAAACAAAACAGAGTGAGTAAACACAAAGCTTGTGAGAAACAAAGCAATACTCACAAATTATTGACATCGTTCTCACCCGCCTCATCAAGCTGTCTATTTGACATCTGAAGGTTGCCTGGGAAACGAGGATTCTGGGAAAGCAAGTGGGTTAGGTATAATATTTGTGAGAGTCTGATAGCATGAAATGGCTTGAAAACTGCAAATTTATATTCTGCATTCCTGTATTGACATTTCATATGACACAGGAATCTGGGACAAAACATATATATACACAAATATACTGTACATGTGCCGTGTTATGTAATGTTTTCTCTTTTTCTTTCCAAACCGCGACAAACACCAGTCTCCCTTCTCTGCAAAATGCGATACATCCGCTCAACCAATCACAACGCACCATTCCATGCAATGTAAACAGTAATCCTAATAACACCGTCAAACTCAGTAACAATATATATATTTATTTATTTATTTTTATTGGGGGGGGGGGGGTCAACAGCAGATTGTGAGGAGATGTGAGGAGGAGAATTAGAAGAAGGATGTTTAGCTAAAATCAAATTCAAGGGCTCAGTTGGACTCACTTTGATGTGAAACTCCATTTTGGTAATGAGCAGTTTGAGGTAGATGCTGCACAACTTCCCATAGCCTTCACTCAGATGACCCTAAGGAGAGAGAAAGAAGTGTGAGGGGCACGAAAAAAACGTAATGCTTTAAAAGGAAATGATGATGTTTCCTTTCCAAAGCAGCAGTAGCTTCTAATGAGTCCCTTTGTCATTCTCAGCTCATCAGCTCACTTCACAATTCAAAGTATGAGTCATTAAGGGCAGATTGAGGTCAGGTTGTGTATGCGTTGACATGTTTGGGGTACACCCATAAAAGGGCCAGCTGCATATCAAGATAATGATCTCATTCTTTCACTTCCTGTTCCCTTCACCACTTACTGTGACATCATAACAGGAAGGAGGCAGAGTTGTTCACAGGAAATGTTTCTCCTGAGTCTAATCCTGCAGCATGTTATCAGCGAATACTCAAAGGGATGCAAATAAAGGTCTTTCCAATAAACAAAAGATGCAACTCAGCATGTTCCATCTGACACTTCCTGTTGGCTGGCGATACACAGTTGATCGTAAAGTGCATCAGAAACACTTACATTGCTGGCAATCAAGATAAAAATCAACAAGAAACGGCATGTGTTAGGGCTGCACAATGAATCTCAAAGCTGCTCGGTTCACAGTAAATGCAGCTCCATGAACTCCATCTCTGCATCTGGGATACTTATAATGTACGTTTTGGAAAGCAACATACTTCAACTTCCCAAATTTGTAATAAGAAATGCCTATAAAGCAGCTGTTGTCAACAAAAGAGAAGCTTTAAGAGCAATTGTTCTGACAAATAATGTATTGAAGCTATTATAATTACTACTACAGTATTTTCTTAAAAAAAATCAATTTTTATTTTACAGTGAACTATTACTAGTAATAAATATAGTTTTAATATTTTTATTTAATAATATAACAATATTATTATATATACATTGATCTATAAATCCAAAATTTTTGTGCATCCCTAAAAACAAGCACAGGAAAACCGATGGGTTTTTTTTTGTTTTGTTTGTTTTTTAATCAGAAAAATTGCATTTAGATTTCCCCCCAAAATTGTGCAGCCCTACACTGAATATCTGTAATGTGACTTTAATAACTCTATATATTTTAAATGTGTATACAGACCTATTTATGCTATGTGAGAGAAATACACATCATATTGGAATAAACAAAAAGAAGTAATATATGAGTAATATAAAAATGAGGTGAGCTTCAGAAGATATTAGGGACGTTTGACTGGTACCTTATAACAAGCAAAGCTCTGTAAGCATTCCTCCAGAGTGACAAACACATGCTCACATCATCGTTAGCTAATTACAGATCATCCCTGTGCTGAGGTTAGTGTGTCTGACTCATACACAGAATGCCAAGCTATTCAGCCGTCAATCAGTAATAACCAAACATCTCACTGACAGTTTCCACAATGAGATGGAAACTCAAGGGAGCTTGACAAGGCCACATTCAATGATGACAGAGAGTTATATTGAGCAAGCCACTGTTTTAGTTGGAAATCATTAAAACCAGCAGCTACAACTTGTGTTCGTGCACTTACCCACATCCTGCTCATGTCGTTCAGGTCAGCCTTGTGCCGCATTGAGTCCTTAATGACCTGAGGTGACAAAGAGGGAGACAGGAAGAGTTGAGACAGCATTTCAGAAAATAAAATAAACCCTAAGATATTACCCAAAAATGAGATAACACAAAATAAAATAAAAAAATAGATACCACGTGAAATTACCCTCAAATTAGATACCTTTTTTTTTTTTTTTTTACAATTTCTTGATATTTAAAATAAAAAAGATGCCTCCTCAATCATGATATTACCCTAAAATAAAATAAATTAATTAAAATGAAATAAATCTTCTGTTATTGGTAATACCAAGAAGAACCTCAAACAACCTCAAAGTGGCCGAATATTGACAGATTAATTTGTCTGTCTTACACACTGGTACCTCAGATCTTAATCAAGGTACCAATATATCTAATTTTACCAGGTTTACCAGAAGTCACTCTGGAAAATCAGCATATCCTGTCTGGGCCTACTAATGTCACTGAATTGGTATATTTCATATACCAGGTACCAGATCTCCTTATGTGAAATGTAAGGGAGACTTGACTTACAACTGATTCCAATAAGAGTTTTAAGTTAGCACGTTGCAAATCTGAAAGCGCAATAATCTACCGGTAATACAAATGCATAGTGAAGACTATTTTTGAACTATTTGTATGGATAGTTCTCAGTATGTAAAATAAATATCACAATGTGTTTTGGTGCTGACTGCTCCACATAGGTTATTTGCAGTGCTGCATTGAAATGGTCACATAATGTTGCTGCCTACCTTTCTGAACAGACTTTGAATCAGGTGTGTGCCTATGATGCCTTAAAATGCTGTCTAACTAGACAACTGATTACATTTTTTGCAACAGAGCTCAATGTGGGATAGTTCAATTTGGATTACACACACATCACGTGTCACTGATGCATGCTGCATTTACTCTGGGGAGCTGTTTTGAGTGTGTGAGAATAATAAATTAATCAAAGGGAGAAGCAGATATCAAGAGACTGAGAGAAAGTGAGAGTGAGGTGGAATTAGACGTGTAATACATAATATGGCTGCATGTACTCACGCTTGGATGGCCGTCCCTCAGCAGCTTGTGGAAGACGTGGCAAAATTTCCAGCAGAGAACCGCATTGCTGGAAAGGGGCAGGCGGTTGACTGCAAGCCAGAATGTGTGAGCCCCTTTCTCATGATGCGTGCCCAATATGCACGGTGAAGACAGCAGTCAAGGACAAAAATGAGGAACACGCTGTTTAAAATCTGCATCTCTGAATCATCTTAATCTATATGCTTCAAAATCAGATGCTGATAATGGCCAAATATTGGCAGAATGATTGGTCTGTCCAGTGTACTGGTATGGTACCAAGTATCTTAGATTAAGGTATCTAAAAAGTTGGGAGTTCAATGTCAAAAAACTAAAATTATTATATATACACTAACCTAAAAGATTATTAGGAACACCTGTTCAATTTCTCATTAAGGCAATTATCTAATCAACCAATCAAATGGCAGTTGCAATGATCCAACGATCAACTCGACAATCGACTACTTTGGACTTCGACCGAAAACAAGTAAATATATGTGAGCTGGCTGAATTAACATCATTTTTTTTAAATATCTTTCACGTCTACTGCAGTTAGATTACAGTGGTCACTCTTAATAACACCACTCACATGGCTGTGCACTTGTAATGACAAATCAAGGATGTTAAGAGGCTAAAAGCTGGTTTAGAACTTGCCCCATTGAAGTCAACAGGGTGCAAATTTAAAAAAAGAGGATAACATGGTGTAGGCAACACCAATTTTTGTCGTTTTTGTCACTCCAAATGTACAAAAAAATGAGCTCAATGTTAAAATTGACCGGAGTTCTCATTTAATACAGTATTTCTCTTTCAGGGTAACACAGACAGAAGGATATTCCTGGCATGCTTCTCTTTGACAGCAACCTCCTGTGTGTTGATGGCTTTGTTGATGCTCACTGCCTGTCGAAGAGAAAGAGAGAAGGAAAATTAATTTTGAGGATTAAAAGCAGCTCATAACAGAAGAGTGTTCCTGTGTGCTGAGGGAAACAGTGAGTTTTAGTGTTTCACTGGAGCCTTATTGAGCAACTTTAACCACCGCTGTGCAACCACCACTGAATACTAATGAAGTTTAGCTCAAGGAGGGTTTAACAGGCAGCATGACTTAAAACACTATTACAGCTTGGGCTACATCCTCCTGGTTTATGATTCATCTCTCATCCACACCATGCTCATTTTGTTGAGAGCTCTGAAGCTGAAAAAACTTGAGAGGGGTTGAGAAAGCACTAGCCATGTTCTCTACATACCGTCTCTTTCCTGTTCCTCTCATATATGCCAAATCACCATCAGTTCTAGGTAAATTCCCAACATAAGCACGAATGCATAATAAACAGTGTTCCTGTTTAAACAAGCATCACATATTCAGTCATGGTCAGTTGAATATAATGAACCCTTAACGGCCCATCAGATAATACAAATGGTTGCATAAGCCAATTAAGGTGTGGCCGTTGAGTCCCTTAGTCTCACTTCCTCTAAATCTTCTTTCTTTTCTTCTTTCTTTCTTTTATTTATTTATATAGCACTATTAATACACAACCCAAGTTGAACCAAAGTGCTTTACAAACAAATTCCCATGAAGGATAAAAATAAAAACATACTTCAACCAGTTAAAATATCACATATAAAATATCACATCTACTCATTGTAGGCTAAGGACATTAGATATGATTTACACAGATGCTTAAAAATCGGCAGCGATTTTGCAGATCTAATAGGCAACGGTAACTCATTCCAATGTTTCGGCCCTATTACCGCAAATGCCCGGTCACCCTTATGAAGGCGCTTTGTTCTCGGTACTATCAGTAGTTCCTGATTCTCTGAGCGTAGTTTTCTGGAGGGGGTATACAAAGTTATGAGATTCGCCAGATATGGTGGGGCCTGATTATTTAGCGACTTATACACAAACATTAGAATCTTGTACCTTATACTGTATTGCACTGAAAGCCAATTTAAAGACTTTAGTGCAGGTGTGATCGACTCATGTTTCTTTATTTTCAGCAAAAGCCTCCCTGCCGCATTTTGTACCGATTGCAGTCGGGACAAAGATGCGGCGGTGATGCCACTATATAGCGAATTACAAAAGTCGAGCCTTGAAAAAATAAAAGTGTGAATGACTCTTTCAAAGTCTTTATTGGATAGGAATGGTTTAATTTTAGCGAGTAGACGTAGATTATAAAAACAAGCCCGGACTACAGAATTTATTTGCTTGTCCATTTTTAGGTTGTTGTCGATTAAAAATCCTAAATCTCTGACTGTCGATTTTGTGTAAGGTGTTAAAGGGCTTGAATCTAATGTAGTGTCTGTGGGTTTATTTTGATGGCCAAATACAATAACCTCTGCTAGAATCTCTTTTTATTTAGACCCAACACATACTTTAGTTATATAATAAAAGTTCTAAAAGGCAGCACCAGTGTACTTTAATGGCAAAAGTTGTCCAAAAAGTGTTTTGAGCCAAATTCATAAATCATATCGCATGTCTCCATCACAGAGCAGTCAATTATTGCGAATACTCAGTGAAAGATAAGATAGCTAAAACTATTAGGAACATTTTTTAAAGAAATTAATACTTTGATATAGCATGAAAGCACTTTTAAAAGAGTAAAGACTTTTACATGTTACAAATAAATGCTTTTCGTTTTAACCTTCTATTTATCAAAGAATCCTGGGGGTAAAAAATGCATCATGGTTTCTGCACACACAAAAAAAAAACTGTTATCGACATTGATGATATTATGAAATGTTTTTGATGAGCAAATCAGCATATTAGAATGATTTCTGCAGGATCATGTGACTGATGGATTAATGATGTAAAAGATTCAACTTTGCCATCACATAAAAAAATATCTACTTTAAAAAATATAACAAAATATTAGAAAATAATTATTTTTAAATAGTAATAATATTTCATAATATTAGTGTTTTACTGTAAAAAAATAATACCAAACCACTTTTGAATGGCAGTGTAGGTTTTGGAAATATCGATGCATATATTTTAGAGCAAAAATAAACCTGAAACATTTTTGTTGAAGAGACCAGGGATCATTCTGACAGGAAATTCTGGCAGGGATGCTGAAGTGCATATAAAAGTGTCATTGTACACACACAGTGTTCAGCCCTCGGCTTCTGGTGCAGGACACACTGTTAAAGGTGACAAGGCATGGCTTTGTGTAGAAAAGATGGATCTGTGGGATGAGCATCTAATTAAATCACCGCTGTGATCTCAAACATGATGAAAAGGATGAAGAAAAGACAAAAGGTTGTAAAAATCCTTACATGTTTCTCATCATAGACCAGCCCTGAGTGTGAATTACACAATAGCCCTCTGATTACTCTTATTTACAGGTAAAGCTTCATATTACCCCACATCTTGTTTTGATGTCCTTCAGGGAGGAGGGGGCAAGCCTTTTTTACAACCTTCTGATCAAGCCTTCTTTAGGCCACCCTTCCCCACCCCCCACCCCCCACCCCTTTTCTCGCTTTCATCAAGTTCACTTTTATTCTCATGCACTGATTCATTCACTAAGCTGAACAGCCAATCAAAGATCTCGCTCTCACCTATGGGCCCAAAAAACTCAGACGGCGTTCAAACAGAGGACAGTAAAACGACGCTCAAAAACGGCCCGACAATGCCTGATGGATGACCATCGGCTTGGTGTGTCCCGGCCTCTATGCAAAAAAAGGCACTAAAGGTTTCTTTCATCCCTCTCCAACAACCAATTCAGAGCACATAAACATATAACTAAAACAGTCCATGAGCCATTAAGTCTATAAAAAAGTGATCAGTAAAATTAGGTCAACATATTTTCATTAAATCCTTCAAATAAAAGCACTAGATACGCATAGCAGCTAAAGAGTCTTAAGAGAACATAATGCTAGTGTGAGGAGAGGTGTGACCTAATTTGTTCACACTGAGACTTTGTCGTCTGTGTGAATGAGTTGTGCCAGCTGCCCAGGCCTCTTGGCACTGGCGAGTGAATTTACTGGTATCCCGGACCCGTCTCTCACAGCACAGGCGAATGATAAGATGAAGTGATAACCACTTAATAAAGTAACACGGTTCAATGCTAGGGATTGGTTGAGCCAGTGGTTCAAATTTTTGAACAACAAACCAATAAATAAATCTACTGGACAAACCAATAAATAAATCAATAAAAAGTGTTAGGTTATGTTGTTGTTTTGACACTGTAACATTGTATTCTCATAAAAAAGCCACCAACATGGTAGATACTGTTGAAATTTCACAATTCTCGATTGATTCCAATTTCAATACCACAGCAAACCCTACTAGCCTGACAAGTGAATCTTCAGTAGTACTAAACTAAAGTTCATCATGTCATTCTGTATTACTTTCTTTATTCATTATATGTGGATAGAAGAAAAACAGTAATTTGTGGACTCGTTTACAACTATATAAAACCGTTGCAATGATGCAACTGCTTTATTATTTCTTCTCTTGTAACCATAGTGAAAACTAAATATCCTGCTTTTGCATTTCAAAGCAAGCTCTTCTAACAGCTTGTTATGCCACAAGTAGTTTATTCAATCCTTCGCCTACAGCAATATCAACCCATTAGACACTTAATTACTGTAGCACTATTTCTATATGGAGCTGACACAAGCTTGTTAAGCAAAGCATATGTGACTGATGATCTGCAAACATCTGCGTTGTGAACCATTCTGACATGTTGCACAGAACTGCCAAAGGGACGGTATCAATCAAATCAATAGGATCTGAGACGCGAGTAATGCACTACAGGGATATTAAGGCCAGATGTCCTCATGTGACCCATCTGCCTGGAGAGAAGACTGTAAGGAAATAGCTCTCATCATATTGAGCTTTATCCTTTAACCCATGCTGGGATCTTATGAGAAATCATTAATGGATGGCTACTTTATATTGATTTATCAAATTGCGCAGCTGAACTTTTGATGTTTTGGGGGAGGGTGATAGGATGCTTGAATGTGAATAAGTAGCAAGTATAAGTGCCCAGAATAAAGAAAAAGGAAATAGTGTAAAAAAGAAAAATGTCATGTGGCGCATTAAAAAAAAAAGTCCTTAATACATTCCTCCTTGAATATGCGAGTGTATGCATCTTTATTATTATCAAAAACAATTATATAAACACTACTGTTCAAAAGTTTGGTGTGAGTAGGATTTACGTTGTGTTTTTGTTTTTTTTTAATTTTATATTAATTGACCAAAGACATTTGTGTTACAAAGAATTTTATTCTAAATAGAAGTCTTTCCTCTTATTATATCAAAATCTGTTCTTTCTATTAATCAAAGAAAGAATCCTGCAAAAAATGCATGACGGTTTCCACAAAAGCATTAAGCAGCACAACTTTTTTACAGCACTGATTATCCACAAGTTCCCGAGGGGCGCTCCTGTAAAAAATAAAGTGGGTGAAACTTCCGGTGAGGCGGCGGAAGTAGCATTCCAATGGTATTTTGTGTGTTAGTTAGCGAAGAGGCTAGCTGTTTTTCTGAGAATTATTTTACTATTTAAAGACGCAAATCTTTATGAGAGATGTCGTTACGGAGCTCAGGGACAACATGTGCTGCTCGCGGTTGTATGTATAACCGGAATAAACTAGTTCAGTGGCTTAAACGTGATTGTTTTAAACATAAGCTGAAAACGAAATCAGAGTGTTCCTGCCAACGACTGTAGTTTCCATCACCTCCCAAAAGACGACGAATCTTCCTGTGTACATTTGTTTAAATTCTTAATATTCTATAAACTTTTATCAGCATGTGTTTGGCTGTTCTCTACTGATGTTGCACCTAAACTCAGGATCAAAGCCGGTGTTGACAGAATACCAAATGTGCCAGTTAATGTATTCAAGTAGCACATTCATTTATAATTTTAAATAAACTCCAAAGCACAATGACTAAGTGTGTATTTTTTATTTTAATTGTTTGTCAGCTCGCACAACTGTCTGTCACCATGCCTTGATGAGTATTGATTATTAATAATGTTATTATAATACTCCCAATCAACTACTGCAGAGGGTAAAGGTACTGTTATTTAACCCTTTTGAATTTCGTTGAGGTTGTGTTCCCACATCGTCAGCTAGTTTGGATTGCTATAACTTGAATGACTGTCAACTGTTGAATGAACGAGTGTCAAGCATGTCAAATCGTGCTTTGTTTACTTCCAACCGGAAGTCGCGCCCACTTTTGACGCAAGGCCTCATGGGGCGTAGGAAACTTGTGGATAAGAAATGTTTTTTTGAGCAGCAAATCAGTGTATTGGAATGATTTCTGAGGAAGACTGGAGTAATGATGCTGAAAATTCAGGAAAATAGAAATATATCTAATGTTATGTCAGTCAGGTGAACGTCCTTAAACACTTGTCAAAGAAATATCATTCTGTTCTTGTAAAAAAAATACAAAAATAATAATAATCTTGAATGGCCATCTTGAACAACAACAGAATATTGAATTCTTTATTGATCAAATAGAGTTATTTTCCTTCCACTTCTTTTTATGCAAATTTTGAGATATTGCATAGAAAAACTTATGACAGCGTTTCTTGAGATTCCCCTGCACTCTGAGACGCAAGTCATTTATGAAGTAGGAAAAAAGAGCCACAGTGGCTTCCATTATTGCAGCAACTTTCATTTTTAATACAGATATTTTACACCAATTTCCCAGGAAGTGACAATTTTGTTCTCTTGGACACATGAAAACGCTGCTTTATTTGCAAAAGTTTTATGAGACATTTAGATTTTGCGTTAAATTGCGTTAAAGTTAAATTCTCAGGAAACATAGCTATTGACCCAAAGCTATATACAGTCAAATCCATATGCTAAAGTTGGACCGGTCATCAAATTGTGTTCATGTTCTTTATGGTCTATAGTTTCAGAGGTAGTTTCACGGGGGTCTTCTGAAGTCTTTTCTTTATCTTGGATCACCCTAACTTTCCCATATCCATTTTACTAAAGAATGCAGACTCTACCCACAGTCCTCCAAAGGGCATTGCAGCCAAACCAAACAACTTTCCCAGCTTCCCATTTTGGGTAATCTCCCTACTTTGAGGGGGTTCAGAGAATAAGCTGCCCATTAAAGTGCACCATCTTTTGAAGAAGTACTGCTTGCTGACATAGGTATTGGCCTGTGGTTTCTCTTTTTCTGAGGCGTCATGTAAATGTTGAAAGAACTAAAAATACCTCTGAACTTCCTGAGCTGGTCCTCTGTTCTCAAGATCAGTCTGAACACCATGTAATACCAAAACTCTCTCACCCACTGAAAGAAAATACACACACTTCTCCTTTCTTGTCATGTTGATGAGTGTGGGATTAATGCTCACTCTTAGCCACCAGTGTTTTTCAACTAACGCAGTCTCCTGCAAACAACTCCACCCCTTTTAAAGGTCACTCAAGTGAAAGGCTGTGTGTGTTGCGTTATGAAAATACTTTTTCTTCCCTTTTGAAGACAATTTTTACATTTTACTCGAATGACTCAAACTTCCTCTCGCAGGGAACACTCAGTAAACACCTAGTTAGGACTGAACAACCCTGACTGCAACTCGCTTCAGTTTTGCACCGATGGATGTAAAAGGGGCAGTTTTTTATTAAGCAGCAATACTTGACCAGCTGAACTGATTTTCAGGTCTGCATTTATGAGGGTATAATTTTCGAACACACAGTGCGTCATCCAGCTGTCAAAATGCTTCAAAAACATTGAATTTGAATACATTTTACTCTGACCAAAAATAGCTATTTACAAAAGCAAATCTACATCAAATGCAAAAGGATCCCCAATTAATGCACTATTATCAATGACACAATAAATGCATTGAATAGCCTATTGAATATTTCAATAGCCGCCTTAAAATATTTCACAATTTACGATTATAATATAATATAATATCCGCCCCTTCCCTTCCAAGAGACAACACTGCTGACATATACTGTAAACACACATCAATGTAGAGTTTGGCTGAACTTAATTTAATGATTACCTGCAATTCAGATAGTTTAATTTAATGATTGAAACGTTAAAGGTTTTACTTTGGTTAGTTAGAGCTGTTGAATACAATTGAAACATAACAGCATCTTAAGAGCTTAATTCGGGGATTGTAAGAATGATAAATGCATGTTGATGTCACAAAGCAATGTGCTCGTTTTTTTCCATAAGGTTCGATGTTTTTTTCCATAAGGTTCCATGTTTTCTATCATCAAATTCACTGGTTTAGTTACCATGGAAAACATGAACTAATAAAATGTATGCATATTACATTGTGTAATATGTATACATTTGTAAAAGGGTATGTTACACTTTGATTAAAATCATCTGCCAAATGCAGAAGTTACAAAAATAATGAAGATGGTGACTGAAAAAAAAAAACAGCTAAAACATTGTTTTTAAAAGATATGCATCAAGTCTCAGGTCCTTTTTTATCAAATAAACACACCTGAGATGGACAAGTGGAGTTTCTTAAAGGCCTCACAGTCCTTTTGGTTTAGGCTAAAAGGACTGAAGATCTGTAACAGCAGCACTATTTGGCAGATGATTTATGCCTTCTGTTCTGAGGCCACATCAAAACCTCAGTAAACCCAGAAGACACAAATAAAATCCAATCACTGCTCCTGCTCCTCTGTAAATTACATTAATCATCGACTTTCTATAAAGCTCGATTGACCTTCGTCGTGGCCTCCACAAACACACAAAACTCCAGTGAGGATCCCTGGACCCCACTCAAGTAAAAACATGTTTTCATAGCATTGTCAAGCAGAGCATGACATGAGGGATTTGAGAACAAGCAGATATCACACATACAATGTTGATAGCAGGTTGGGAGTCAAAGCAGAATGGGGGATGCAGTGATTCAAGTCAAAATATTGAATCATGTGTCCATAGATACTGTCTCAGATCCTACAAAAATCAAAAGAGCCACTCAAGTCAATATACAAGATTTAAGTCCACAAAATCGAGTTGCGTGACCCTCAAACCCCAAAGTTTGTATTAGCAGCACATTTAAAAGGACAGTTCACCAAAAAAAAAAAGACTCATCATCAATGTAATAAACGTCTATGACTTGCTTTCTTCTGCGAAACACAAAAGGTGATCTTAGGAAGAATATCTGAGGCGGTAGTCTCAAAGTCTCAGTCACCATTTACATTCATTGAGTAACTTATATGTTCATACAATGAAAGTGAACGGTAACTCATTCTATCTAGCTTCTATTTGCTTTTGTATTGAGAAAAAGACATGGTAAAACAGGCATATGAGGGTGAGTAGCCTAAATGATGACAGAATTAGTATTTTGGATTGAACAGAACTAACGACGTTATCAATTTAAGATAAAAACAAATCGTGCGTTCCTGTTGACTAAACGTTCAGACATTAGCTAGTGGTCCATTTAAACGCAGTTTCTCACGGACAAGACATATTAGCACACTCGCTGTGACTCCCTAAAACCCTGGTATGTTTTGAGAAATAGTTAATGAGCCCAAAATTGCCTAAAATGCGCAAACGACTATTTCGCGAGACCGCTGCAACTTGTTTAAACGTAGCTAACGGTCCAAGGAGTGAACGCTCGCAACGGTAACAACCTTAAAAGGTAAACAAACACAGGGCTGGTACTCCAAAACACAAAATCCTCGATACAAAACAACCCCGCGAACAGGCAAGCGCGAATCCCTCCCCACCCCCCAAAACGTGTAGCAGCTAGATGAACAACACCCGCTAAACATCAACATCGTAACGTTACACCTACCATTTTATTCGAGTCCATAGTTCAAACGGGGTTATCGAACGTAAGGTAAACCGTTTTCCCTACTCGGGAATCAAAAGCAGACTGCGAATCCGCTGAGGGAGGCGGAGGGAGCAGGAACGGTCCGCTAACTCAACATGTGTCCGGTTCAATATCGAACAGTCCCTCTCTTCTTTTCTTTCCCGTTCTCGTATTTCCCCCTCGTCCTCCTCGCGCGCTGAAGCTCCGATTGGCAGATGGCTGGACTCTCAAGAACGCTCTGGAAAAGCCACTGCCTGCCTAAAGAGCGCGTGTCATAAACGTTACATGGAAACGCTAGACGATGGGCTAAATATTATGTGACAGGTACGGGCCACAAAACACAGATTGTAATGCTAAAGGAGGAGTTCTTTATACACTGATGTCATTTGTCACAGCTTTTGGCTTAAAAGGACCAAAAGAGAGAGAGAGAGAGAGAGAGAGAGAGAGAGAGAGAGAGAGAGAGAGAGAGAGAGAGAGAGAGAGAGAGAGAGAGCAAAATTCTGTCAAACGTTACATCACTAAAAAGAAACAGAAGTGGATGTTTGTATCGCAAGACTGATGCAAAGGTCTTACACAAACCGAGACAAAAAAATGTCTCCTTTCAGAAGGAATTTAGACTGCACTAAAACTCAACTGCAATAATGCAAAAGACCCACTTTATGCATTATTGCGTTATGCCATCTTCAGATTTACAGATGCATTATCTAGAACTGTTTGCCTAAGGGAGTTGAATTCGATATAGGCTTGTTATCGTCTATATTCAGGATATATGACGTGATTGATGACATTCCAGTTAAACACTCCTGCACATGATGACGTGTGTAATGTTGATGAATGGCGCCCTCATCTGGTTACTTTTGATGCTCAGGTAAAGCAGCATGACAATAGCCGCGTTTCCACTGCCGGGCCAGGGCCGGGCCGTGCTAGTGCGTGCCAGGGCCAGTCGCGTTTCCACTGTCACTTCCGGGGCTTGATCGGGGCTTCCTCAGGGCCAACGGCCAGGATTTCTGGCCCGTCGAATACCTTGGGCCAGAGGGGGCCAGCTCGGGCTAGAGGCGTGCTCAAGGTAAAAGGCGGAGTTTATCGGTGTTATGGAACGTTATGATCTGAAGCAAGATGCACATAGGGGTGTCCATGTTTAACCGATTAACCGTTTAAAATTGCATAACATTTTAATTTGAACTGTAGGCCTATGCCAAATGCTGCGCAACAATATATAGGCTATATAGCTACATATCGACGAATTTTCAGATATTTGTTTGATTTTTTTTGCCCCTTAAACATTTAAAATATTTGACAAATTAATATGAAAAATATATATATTTTACTGGTTTTCTGAGGCCAAATTAGAACCTGGAAATGATATTTTCCCCGCAGTGCTGAATGAGAAGAGCCGTAACCACAGCCTACAGAAAGGGGATTTATGGGTGATTTATAGGCTATAATAAATGTGTCTGATAATAAAATAATATAAAATAACGAGGCATTAATTGTTTATTAATAAACTATTGTTTTCTAAATTATTTTCGGCTAAAAACTCCATCTCCGGATGCACATTTAGAGAGAAATTAAGCTACATAAACAAGATATTGGCTTTCGATTCGAATTTGTTCTTTTTAAATTGGACATTTAAAGCTTTAATCTACAAAGGATATAACCCCTGTAGACTAAAGCTTTAAATGTCCAATTTAAAACGAACAAATTCGAATGCGGTGGCTGTTTCAGGTCTCGCGCTTCAGTTCACGGAGATCATGAAGCGCGCCTTGATTAATTGTTAAAGCACAACGTTTTCTTGTTATAAATAAATTTATTTGCGAATAATGTATTATTATTTTCTGTATGACCAGAAATTAAAGAGTATTTTAAGTTGTTTCCACTGAAAGAAATGCAATGAAACTGTTCACATGGGCGTCTCGCAGCCATCAGTGCGTGCTCCACACACACTGGATATGCGCTGATATTTGTCAAAAATATTGTGTTTATTTGTGCTCTGTTCCTTTTTTGGATAAAGGCGTCTTCTACATATGCAGCCTAATAAAATGTTACAATAATGATGATGATGGTTATTATTATTATTATTATTATTATTTGCAGACACGGAGTTTTTGTGAAATGGACGTTTTGCTTATTTTCAATTGGCAATTTCAGTTTGAAGGGTGATGGAAATGCGGCTTTAACTGCTCCGTACTTGCTGCGTTTTATTTCTATAAATTAATTTCGTTTCAAATGGGGTCCAATCAGTTATTAAAGGTGTTAAAAAGTCTGTATCTCGAGGTTGCGGCGCGCACACTATGCACCGAGTATTAACCGATGGGCCTCGGTTAACGATTAATGAATAACTTGAAAACGTGCCCGCAGCCCTACTTGTTATATCGCGCAAAAAATCGCTGCTTCAAATGGAGAATCGCCTGTACTGGTCTCGGGACACTATTGCAGCCACTACGGCAGTTGAGTTAATATACATGCTATCTTCCTAATTTAAAAAATAAATTAATTCATAATACCCGCTGAAATGGGTTGGGTTTTATGACGTTTGATCCTGAAAGGCGTGTTAGGGGTGGGGTCTGGGGCAGCGCTGTGGGGCTACTGGCCCGGCAGTGGAAACGCAAGCCCGGTGCTTGAGGCCCGAGGCCACTAGCTCGGCCCGGCTCGCTGTTAGCTCTGGCCCAGCCCTAGCCCGGCAGTGGAAACGCGGCTAATGAGCAGCTCCATACTTCTTTTCTTTTCCCAACATGTGCTCTTTAAACAGGTGAGTTAAACACAAAGGGTTTTTATTAATATACTAAGTAATGAAATATGTAAGAATATAGTTAATAAATCATTAGGCATTTATATGAAAATTTGTCAGTGCATAAAACTTGCTAGCTGTTATGGTAACCTGTAGTAGTATAGTTTTATTTAATGCCATTGCAGATGCTGACATGGCATTAAATAAAAATATTACATACAATAATTACACAAATAAAGTACAAATAAAAACCAAGCAAACAGAAAAAAACAACAGCAATTAATATTATAAAGTAGAAAATTCTAAAAACCCTTTCTGGTAAAAAATTTACTAAACAAGCTCCCTCCTGAAGTGATCTTACTTCATAAAAATGTTTTTGTTTTTTTTTACCTGCATTTGCCTTTAAGCAAAAATGTGTCAATTTTGTACAACCTACATGACATCCTGTGAACACCACTTGATCAAATCTTTTTTTAAGGGAGATTAAAAGTCTGTTAAAATACATAATTGTAATAATATTTTATAATATTACTGTTACTGTATATAAATGCCACCTTGACATAAAATATTTCTTTAAAAAAAAATCTTACCAACCCCAAACGATATACAACATTTGGATATACAACGGTTGTGTATATCCATATAATATGCTAGAACATTATATATCTATTATATTCTCAGAGTACTTGCATAAACCCCCAATATAAAATCTATTGCAAAAAAAGCAATTGTTTAGAGAGACATCCAAAAGAAGGTACAACATCAGTTGATCTGAACATGATACCAGTCAATGTTTACCAAATCACTCATGGAGGAAAAATGGGGAGGGGGGGTGTCCAAACAAAGCATGCTCTTTAAAGGGCAATCACTTCCTGGTACCGTGTGGTAGGCCCATCGGGACAGTTTACACTGCTGTGCCTTATTGGTCAAGCATATTCAAGCCGGAGAGACGCTACAACAGTGTAGTGTGACTGCCAATGAGTCACTGCCCACGCACTGTCTATGTCTGTCCAGCTCACACTGACCACAAGCCTGAAAAACTGCTAACACTCCTTGGTAAATGACGAAAAATTTGTCCTGCCCACTTTAGATAATGAATAAAACTATGATAACATTACAGTGGATCTGTGTGCACTGTATCCACGCCATCACTGTGTAAATGTGACCTTTCCTAGTACCCACAGGATTCCCACATCTTTAGACCAAGGAATTTTCATGACTTCTCAAAGACTTCATAAAAATGCAATTTCTAGCAGCTGAATTATTTTATAGACAAGAATAGCAATTAAAAATGTACATTTTTTTTTTTTTAGAAATTTCAATTACTTTAAAAGATCTTAATTTACAACTGGAAAAATAAAAGGGATTCTCATAACTTTATGAAACCAGGATCAACAAGAATATGAACAATATATTAGTGCAAAATTGCAAATTGATATATTATAGTCAAATTGATTAATTGCAACTAAGTTTGTGTTTACATAATATACTGTATATGTGTGTATATATACACTAATGCGTATTTATATATATACGTATAGTATACATGCGTATGTGTGTACATACAGACACACACAGACATATGTGATATATATATATATATATAAATGTAATAATAATAATTATATATATATATATATATATAATATATATATACACACACACACATTCTATATATGTAATAAACCTTTGTTAGATGCGATTAACCGTGATTAATCGATTTGACAGCACAAATATGTGCATATATATATTTTCATATCTTTTATACTTTATCGTATCAGTTTCTTTTTTAATTATCAATTTACTGTAAATGAGTCTGAATACAAGAAAATTTATATATTTGTCTTTATACTTTAGTAAGAGGTTCCACCATAAGAGGATCATCATATTTTTGTTTGTGATTATTTATTGCAAGGTTGACCAGGGTTTCCTTGTAAAAGAAAGAAGAAGGGTTTTATATATATATATATATATATATATATATATATATATATATATATATATATAATAGATAAATAAATAAATTAGGGGGTGGATTTATAACACCAGCACAGCTCCAGTATTTCCACTGCTCCTCCTTGATAACGTTCAGAAGGAATCAGTACGTGTGGCCTATTGAGTTATTAGAATCATCATATTTGATCATCATACTTTGTATTAAAAGTTAGCCTATGTAAAAAACTGTTCTGTAAACACAATTTGGTAGAGACTTAAATAATATTGTTTGTAGCTCTTTGGGTTTTAGAAAAGCGCATTATAAATAAAATGTATTATTATTATTATTATTATTATTATTAATAAATCAACAATCAGCATCTAACATGACCACATTCCCTGCATTAGATGCAATAATGGTCTGTTTTTTGGCATCTGGCCGCCCGCCAAACTGCATAGGATTTTTAATCCACAGCGAGCGAATGGAGGCCACAGGCCAGGGCCCGTGTTCTGCTGTCTCAGGGCTTTCATACATGCCCTCCTGCTGTCGATGACCCCAACAAACCCTCCTCACCCTCGACACCGCAGGAGGAGCTAGAGTAAATGTCAACATATGAGATTGAAAGAGTGTGAAAACTTAACTTTTTAAAGCTGAGAAATAGGTAAATACTTAAATCAGAAAAAGTGCAAGGATATTGCAACTACTGTAGAAGATGGAGGAAGTG